ATTTTCTTAACTATATATATTTGAAGGAGATGTATTGTTAGTAGTTATTATCATGTATTAAGGAATACTTTTAGATATTTTATTTAGATGAGTCTACTTTCACACATTAATCTAAGAATCCAAAATCATGGTAAATCAAAGGAAAATAAAAATAGGGTGTGATTTAATTGAAGAAGCGTTTAAATTTTATTGAAATGCATAAGGTAAATGGTTATGCTAACTTTAAAATATGTATTAATAAAGGCTATCTAAAATAATAAAAATCAACCAAAAATTTTTTATAATTATGGATAATAGCTCAATTCATTACATAAATTATAAAGAATATTTTTTTTGACTAAATTAATGTGGATGGCAAAACATAATCCTATTTTAGATGTGTTGAAATTATTAAAATAGCATATGTATAAATGTTCATTAACAAATGTAATGCATAAAATAATTCATAATTAAATGAAATTTTTACGTAAGCATATATTTGATAATGTAATTTAACATAGTTAGAAAGAAATAGAATAAATATTATTAAGATGATGATCATAAGAAAAATTGAAATTGAATATAAATTTCAATTCTAAACAAATTGTAATATATATATCGAGTGTACATAAATTATATTAATATTATATGTTAAGCTATATCTTAATTTTTTCAAATAATAAATTTTATTTTTCTTAAGGTCCAGGAACCCAGCAATAATGAAGTACATAAAAAAGTGCAGGATTCTAAAAAATACCTTATTATTATTTAGGATCCTTTCTCTCTCTTTTTAGAGGCTTAAGCTTTTTCCATTCTAATTTTCAGCTCTCTTTCTTACATTCCTATAAGCTTTATAAATTCAAATATATCATGATTCTCTCTTCTAAGATAAGAGAATTAATTAGAAAGGATAGTTTGGAAAAGATATTAATAATAGAATAAAGATATGGCTTATTCAAGAGTTTTTAAATAAAATATATTCAGAGTCAAAATTATAGATTACACTTTAAAATTTTGAGATTAAATATTCAGTTGATAAAAAATAAATAAGATTTTAATTCTAAATATTTTTCAATATGATTAATCATTCAATAAAATATGAATCAATTTCTATTTTATATATGGGAAACTAAATTTTCAGAAAATTTTTTTAGGTTGTTATTTTATAAAACTTAGGTATCAATTTAAAAATTTGCTCCCATCACTTTTATATATTCAACTTTTGAATTACAACATATTTCTTATATTGTTTATCTCTTCTTATAAAATGTTTAAAAATTTAATTTAGGTTTTATGAAATTGTTATTTCATATATATTATGTTCTGATTTAAGTTTAGATAATTTTTTTGATTTTTCACAAAATTATAATTATTATTATTCATTAAATAATTGATAAGTCTTGGATATTTTTAAACATTTAAGATTGAAATAAAACATATTTTAAACTTTGAATTCACTCATAAATCAAATTTTAATTAATTTTATATTTATGCTAACAAAAAAAGATTAGAAACAAAAATAACCTTAAAATAAAAAATAACGTTACTATGACTTTGTAGTAAATAATACAGTTAAACAAACATCAATCTGTTTTGCAATATCCATAAACCATGATAGTACAAAAATAGCAGTCGGATCATATTAATCAATAAAAATTTTCTAATTTAAATAAGAACAAATGAAATGGATCAGTACTTTGATAGGTTCTCGGCCTCATTTAAGAGTATTTAATTTCATGAAAAATTCATCCATTTTATTTTCTGGAGGTGATGATAATTAACTTACTATTTGGCCATTGAATGGTGTAAACAATGGGAAATATTTAAAAAAGTTATATGGACATAATAATACAATTAATTGTTTAGTAACGAATAATGTGGAAGATATTATAATTTCTGGTAGTGATGATAAGAGTATCAAATTTTGGAAGCAAAAAAACTATTGGATACTTAATTAGACTATAATTGAACATCGTGATTAAGTTTATGGTTTAAGTTTAAATCAATCAGGAAATGTATTGATTTCATGTGGTTAAGATAGATAAATATTGGTGATAGAACTTTAATAAAAGGGAGATTAATATTAATGGATTTTGAGATAAACAATAAAAGAATAATCATGTGGCTATCGCTTATGTTTCCTGAACGATACACTTTTTGCATTTTAATCATGGGCAGGAAAGTAGATGCATATCTATTAATTGAATGATGAAAATATGTTTATGAAAATTTCAAGTGTTACTGTCAAAGGTAAAAACGAGTATTGTAATAACTTTTTTCCTTAATAATATATCTAATCTAAAAATCTTATTGTAAGTAAGAATGGACCTTATGTGAACATAATTAAAATGGTCAATAATAGAAAATTTGTTTATTGTTCCTCTGTCGAATTCAGTCCTGAATGCTATGGAAATATATTTGGATAAGTTAGTTCAGATGGAGAATATTTGATTATTTGGGATTAGGTTTCAAGTCAAATATAAATTAGAAAGTATATGAATTCTTGAGTTATTATTAAATACCCAATATATTAAAATGAATTTATTAATTGAATTTTTATTAGATCATTCAATAGAAGTGAGTGTGTAATAAATATAACTTAAAATTAATTTATTCAGAGATTTATTTATTAATGGATGGTGAAAAACAATGATGCCTTTATATATCAAATTTAGTAATAAATGGTTAAAAATTAATGTTAATTATCAGATAACAATTCTCAATCAATATTACTTTAATGAAGTAATATTTATTATCACAGTTAAATCATCGAAAATAGGTTGAACTGAATAATAATTTGGTATTTGAGAAAAAGATAAAAGGATGAAAGATTTAATAAAAACATTTGATCTAAATTAACTTAGAGAAAGCAATTTTGCTATTGATATTTAATTATTATTTATTCTTATTATTATAACACTATCATATTCTAAAAATTTTTTTTAGATTCTATATCATTCTCATTAAAATAACAATATCACAACTTTAAGAAATTAATTTAATTATGATTCTATTTTGAGCCTAGATATATGTAGGAGAATTTTTCTTTAATAAAATAATTTGTAATGATAAATGTATCTAATTTTATAAATATGATGTGAAATTATTTTGAAATTATAAATACTGAACTCCAATTATTTACATCCGAAATTTTTTAAATAATAATCTAAAATTTAACCATATTTAAGAATAAAAATATTTCTTAGCATTTGATATTTCTTTCCTAAATGAATAATTATGTTAAATATAAATATTTTTTCACTCCAAATGATAAAGTATTTAATTGATTTTGATTTTGATTTTCTGAAGTCTTTCAATAATTTCAAGAATTAAATGTACATTAAATTTTAATAGATTAATTGATTACCACTAATAAGTAATTTTATTATTTATTTTGTTTTGTTAAAAAATAGATCTTAAAAATTAAAATAAATTGTGCACATATACTTCTGAATTTTTATTTCTTAAATTTTTCAAATTCCACAAACTATTTAAAAACTTTTGAATCAGATCAATTCATTATACCTAATTAAAAAGTTGATTTTCTCTCGCATGTATCTATGTTCTGTATAAATTTATATTCAATTAAGGAATATTGAAAAATTTATTCACCTTTATGATTTAAAACTTCCAGCTATGCAATTTTAGGAATTCCAAGTTTTCCTTAGTTTTTTTGATTTTCCATAGCAACTTTATGCTAAGCTCTGAGTTTGAGTTATATGATAACAATTTTAGTTAAAAAAATACTCTTATTATTTTTTAACTATCTTTTATCCTAATTGCCAAGATATAATAGTAATTTTAGATCATTCCTATCTAACTATTTTTAAATTTTTTCAATTGAGATATATTGCAAAACGTAGAACGATGATTTTAAGTTATCATTATAAATAATTGATAACAATGATTCCTTGTCATTCTATATTACTTATTATATTCAAGCATAAAATTTAATTCATTTTAAAATAATAAATATCTAATTCAAATTTTAATATCAGATCATATGAATCCTTATATTCCAAATTTAGAAAAGTCGTCATACTTACTCATAAATAAAATTTTATTTAACATTATCTATTAATACATATTTTGTATTATATAAAATGTAATAATGCTTTTGTTAATTTATCTATATTCCCTGCTACATTAACTATATAATTAGAAAAAATAAATGGCCTTAGAAGATTATGACTTAGGAAAAAAAAAAAGTAATTGGAAAATGATCAATAAATAAATGAACTAATAGTTGAGTCCACATATGTTGAATTAATGACATATAAATAATAAAATTAAGAATAATTTAATATCATTATTTGTTGGGTTTAATCTTAATTATTACTATTAGTATAGTAAAATTTAATAGACTCAAAAAAAAAGTATATTAGAATATCATCTATCGATTAATGGGATGCAAAATTTGAGCTCAATTCTATCAGTATCCATTCAACTAATTATGATATTTAGAAATCTATTCGATATTAGAGGCATCTCGCCTATTGGATAAAGTATCGGTTTATTCAAATTTTAATTATATTTTTTGATATCTAATTATTACTTATTTATTGGTACTTCTATTTAAAGGTCTTAAATTTTTTAGAGTTTGAGAATCAATAATTTCAATATTACTTAATTCTAATTTTTTGATTTATTGTTCCACTTCGATATGTCTTATTTAAGTTTATTTTTTTATTTTGATCCCTCAAATTCCTCAATTTTTTGTTGTACAAAATAATTATTAATAACAATTTATAATCGAGGTTTTATTCTTCTTTATTATAGAAATCTAATTCAAAAGCTAATTTTCCAAACTTTGATTAATTTCATTTGTGATTTCAAATATAATTTCTTTGAAATACCTATATCTAGGTCACCTTTGGTATTCTTCCAAAATATTATTATAATATTCATCAATTTGTTTTAAGTCTATAGTTGACTGTTTGAAAGTGAATAAATTTTTCTAATTTTAGTAATCAATAAAAAATTATTTGAAATTTGAATTTCCTTAATCGAAACAATATTTATCAAAATATAATTCTTTACTTAAACTTTTTAATTTAATAAATAAATCTAAAAATTTTTTTTTTCAAAATATCATGTCTTTCCTTCTATAACTATAAACAAAAGAGATATGTAATTGGAGTCTCTTCTGAAAATTTATGAAATTCATCTATAATCTTATTATTTTCTATATTTTAATTCAGATTAAATTGTGGAGTCTTCAATAAAACTTAGTTGAAAATTAATATTGCAGGTGATTTAACAGTTGAACATATTTTAATTTTGAAATCTTATTCGTTACCAAAAAACATATTATTTTGCTTTCTATTCAAGTTTACAGATATTTCATTAACATAATTTTTTTTAGAAATAATCTAGAATATTAAATATTAAAAAATTTAAATACTTAAATATTCATTTAATTAATTTTTATGATGACTTGTTCCTTAGTTTAATCAACTTTAATTAATACAATTTAAGTAAGCAATTTTTTGGCTTTTTAATTGAAACATCACAGTTTCTTATTATTATTATTTATTTATTCTTGATTTTCTGATTTTCATAAACTTAATTTAATAAATTATTATTATTGTCATAATCAGATTTAACAATTTTCAATATTGTCTAAACTTTATTATCGCTTTTTGGATTATTGAAACTTTTCCAAAACAATAATATTCATGATAAAAACCATTAGCTTTAAAGAGACAATCTATATACATATTGAAATAATTCTATTAAAAATATTATTAAATATCATGCTGTTTTTTTCATATTTGTTTTCTACTCTAATAATTTCAAATCAAGGTCATTTTTATATGCCATTTTTTCACACAATTGAATATCCAAAATACCTAAAATTACATTCATTTCTTCTTCTGTCAATGGTTTCATATCACTCCAATTAATTATTTTTTTACATCCAACTCCACCTAATTTGAATTTTTCATCTATAATTTGATTTTGTTTCTTTTTTTCATCTAAAACTACATCATTTTGTTTCAAAGAATTATCAAGAAAAACTTCCAAATTCTCCTTTAAATATGTAACTTTGAATATTCTAAGAGCCTCTTCCTCTTAGAGGAAATAATCTTGATGGTTCTCATTCAGGCTTCCACAGACTGTATTGCCTTCACATCCATCTGCTTTGAACCAAATTTATCCGCAATGATAGCATTTTCTTATATATTAAGATAAATTTTTTCCATTGTGAGTTTTTTGGTGGGTAAGTTAAACAATTTATTCATACTATTAAAATATTGCATTCTTAAGTTTGAAATGAATTTCACAAGCCTTAAATTGTTCTGACTCTCCTAATTTTTCTATTATTTGTTATATATCAACCTCAAACTTTTTTATTGTCTATTAGAACAAATCTTTTGCAAACTAAGTAATTGCATAAAAATAATCTACTATTAATTCTTTTGAAATATTGTTGTTTTGTATTTTTTATGTTGCCTATTAAAAAAACCTATTGTAATTTTTTATTGATTCACGTTCTAATACTTCAATTTGATGTATTTGATCATCATCATACTCTAATAGATCAAAATTCTGTTAGAAATGCTTAAGAGTTAAAACTAAATTTTATGCTTTAGAATTCGCAATAATGGAATCAATCCTACTACAAATACTCTCAGGGGTGTCATTCTTTCCAACAAACATAATTGAATTAATTTTTAATTATGCAAGTCTTTATTAAATATCTTATTTATTTTTTTCTAATTCTTTTTATTCACATAAATCCCAAAATGTAATTATTACTGTGACCAAAATTCTATATTTCATAAATGTAGTTAGAATTTTTTCTACATCTTAGACAATTGAGTTGGTTGTCGCATATTTAGTAGTGATAAAAATTCTATGAATGGGCCCTTCTGATATGGCTGAAAGAACACTAGCAATATGATCTGTTTTTTTCGAATTTTATCTGAATCCTTTCGTATCTAATACTGAAAACCCAGAACCAAAACATGATTTTTTCATGAATAAACTCATAGTGACTGCATTTCCACCCATATTTTTTGTTTCTTATGACAGTGTAATTTTGTTATAGAGTGTGGTTTTCCCTGAGCTAATTGGCCCTATTAGTACAATTGCCATTTTATTTAAAAATAATTTAAGGCTAAATGCATTATACTTGTAAAAAAGAGCTATTTCTATTAGCCTAATAGAATTAGGGGATTTGTTAATAAATTTTCAAAAAATATATATTTATTGTCAATTTCTTATTTTTTCAAAGCTAATACATGCCTTACCTACTAATGATAGTTAATGATAGAGTGCTGCTATTACCCTTTGATGTATTAGATGTTTGGTTTATCCACTCTAACAAAAAGTTTTGTTTATTAAAAAAATTCAATGTGTGTCTTATTATTATTTTCTATATATATATGTGCTTAAAGGATGAAGTTATTGAAAAACTGAGTTAATTTAATATAAACAAATAAATTCATACAAGTAATTAAAAGTCAAATACATTTGCAAAAAAAAGAGACCTATTCTTCACAAAATTAATCGAAAAAGCATAATTATAAAAAAAAGCAAAGGGAGGGGGAGGGTATTGATAAATCTGATAGATGTGTTTTTTTGAAACACGATACACATAAGGTTAGTGATATCACTTCTTTTGTTAAAAAAAATGGAAAACATTTGGAAGAATATAAAATTAAAATTTATAAAATATCATACCAATTCAGACCTACAGTAATATATCATATAATGAAGCATACTATGTATATATAATTAATTTTTGAATTTAAAATTCCAATCATTGGAAATTTTTTTTTGGATTAACAATTTACAAAATAAATATTTTACAAAATTTGATTTATGTATGGAAACGAAGAGAGATGGTGAGAAAAAGGAGGAAGGATTCAAAAAAGGCAAAGAACAGAAATATGAATATTGATTTGAATTTAAAAGAAAAAATTTTTAAGGTGGAATTTGATTTCGATATTCCTGTTTGCATTATGGATGTTTATTCTGTGATATGAATTATTCTAATTAAATTAAAAGTCATAATAATTGACCTGCTTGAATAAAAATACCTTACAAACTTTCTCTCTAAAACTAATGATATTTTTAATTAAAATTTTATGTAATTTTATAATTGAATTTATATTCTCTATTTGGCTAGCGCCATTAAATAAGCCATATCCAAATCTACCCTCGATTGATGAATTTAGACTTCTTATGATCTAGAGCCATTTAATTATATTAATAGATGCATATTTGAAACCTCCCTTTACATCCTAAATAAGATTTGTGAATGGTATGACTTCTTCGTACCATATTTTTTAAATGATAGAATAGTATAAATATAAGTAAGATTCGAAAAAAGTTAAGTAATCAAACTCAATTATATTCTTCGATCTTTTCAATGCATATGATATTGATTTATATTATTTGAAATTTTGAGAAATTAAAAAAGATACTTTAAATATTTTTGACTAATAGAATTAGACCTTGGTTTAAAGATTTTATGACTCTTTATATATCTATGACCCAGTTAATGAAAGAAAAGTCAATTTTAAGTTTGGAGTTTATTATGGATCTCTAATGAGAACATTCCTTTTTGATATTCATTTAAATAATTAATTGAGAATATTCCTTAACAGGCTAAAGAAAAAAAGCTTGTTTTAGGAGATAAATGGGAAAAGAAGATGATTAAAAACATGTAATTATCTTACGTTAAGATAATGGCTTATGCTGATAGATTTAACCATTATCTAGAATTCTTCAATTCTGAGTGAATTATCCATGTTCCTTATGCATGTAAATGAAGATGTTAATTTTAGGTAAAAAATGAAAAAGATTAGAGTCTTAGCAAAAGCTAAGAGCTTGGGATCACCAAAGACTTTACCTAATTTCTTGAATTGATTAAATCAGAGAATGGTTTATTTAAAACACTCCATAAATGTCTTGAAATAATATGAAAAATTGAAAGAAAATTGTTATGATTACAAATCTTTCTGAAAAAAAATTAAGAAAATTTGTTGATATGAGGAGGAAAAGATAAAAATTTTATTTTTATAGAAAAATAATTAATTACAATTTTAGCGCTGTTGAAATAGGAACAAGATTCTATAATCCTCTCGCCTCAAAATATACTAATTTATCGTAAAAACATAAAAACTGCGAAGAGAATCTAAAAATGAGAATTCAATTTTAGAACAATATTGATTAAAGTATAAAATTGTACTTTATGAATTATAGCAATCGAAGTTTTGATGATAAATATGCAAATTATTTATGTTCACAGATTAACAATAACAATGAAGAGTTTTTAATGTAAATTACTTTACATGGAATGCAGTATAAAAATTGAAAATTAATTATATTAAATTTAAAGGTTCAATTTTGAGTAGGTTGTATTTAAAAATGATATTCAGTTCAAGATTTTTTTAATTCAGAATTATTTTCGAGGATAACATAAATATCTATAAAAAATTCATAAAATATCATTAAATTTTTAAGAGTTGGTACATTATTTAAAAAATAAATTTATTTTACATTTCTTAATTTTATATTTGATTTTTTATTAATGATTTTGTTAGTTATTTTTAATTAATTTGAGAGTGTTACTTAAGCAGAATAAAAGAATTTCTAAAAAAGATTAAAAAGAGAAAATATGAATCATTAGTGAATAAATTTATTTAAATAAGAAAAAAGTAATCTTTTTGACATTAATAAAAGACTTATTTGATTAAAAGTAAAGTAACTGACAAGAAATAAAAATAATTTATTTATTGCTCGATCATTTTTATCTAATAAATATAAAATGATAATATTTAGTATAAAGATTAGAATGAAAGCATTTTAATAGATCGATTATTCATTCAAGCAAAAACAATAAAGAAAATTACCAACTGGAAATTCATCAAATTCGGAAGTAAAAAAGAGTAAATTATTTAAATAATTTTATAATCATTTTTCAAAAATATATTAAAACTAATAATTTTATTAAAAAAAACTGAGTTTGGAATCCCAACTTTAATGAAAATGCCATTCTATTGAATAAATTTGAATAATATAAAATAACTATCTAAAATCAAAATTCAGATTCATATAACTTGACTTGAGAATCTAAAGTTCTATTAGATTTTTTTAATTATTTTTAATCATTAGTACTCTTTTAATAGATTAAATCAATAAAACTTCGTCTTGGTTCTTTACATATAATTCGTTTTCCTTATCCTCGATGTTTTGATTCATAATATAAGCCAGAATCATTTAAAACATCTGTTTATTTATATGTATTTGGGCCTGGACTAATCTATCCTAAATAATTAACTTAACTACTTATTTTTTCAAATCGTTCTTGTTTACCTATTTTATAGCATCTAGAACTTCTATATCGAGAATAAAAAGTCTAACCCATTTAATCAATATCTGTAGAATCATATTTCCCTGGGCCAGGATTACAATCTAAACTTTACTCCTATAAGAATTCTAATTCTTTATGAGAAAATTACTTGGTAGCCAATTAGATTATGTTTTTGGTCTCATAGTATATTATATTTTTGGGTCAAAATAATAGGAACAATTATAATTGCCAACTCCTGGATTTCTTTAAATTCCTTAAGTAATATATCCTAATTCTTTGGTTTTCTAATATGAAATAATAATTAATTTTTAAAACTTCTCTTGAAATCCCGAATGTTATTCCTTTCTCTTTAGGAATATCAAAGAGACTAGAGATAATATATTAGGTTGGAGGAGGGGCATTACTAAAAGATTTAGTAAAATCTGATCGAGGACCTTTACCAATTGAATGAGCTCTATTATTTATACTTCTATTAATATTGTAGTTAGCTGTAGTATAACTATTCTAGTTAATACATATGACTACTTTGTGTTTGTTTATGAAAAACGTTTAGCTTTAGAGAAAGAGTAGGATTATTTTGCTTTATTATTGGTATGTTACATTATAAATTTTATTGATAAAATTAATTGTCATATTATAATTAATAATGTGATCATAAAATATATAGATATAAATCAAGATGGGATAATTTTATCATTTTTATATCCATAAGGTTTTGTTATTTTATAGATTTTGGCATCCAAATAATTGATTGTAGTTTTAAATTAATTTATAATTAATCACTATTCTTGAGATTGAAGTATTCTGCATGATTTTCTAAGATTCTCTCTTACCTACATAAATTTTTTATTGTAGATGCATAATTCAAGACTCAATAAATATTATTTAATTAGGGTCTAGAGATGATTATTTAAAATTCTATTTCTATTCAACTTTACATTTGTATTTGTGTACCCTCATAAGTATTTAAATAAATATAGAAGTATTCTCTTTCTTCAACTGAATATTTGGCTAGCTCACTCCAATTTTCAAGGTTCCATCCAAGTTTAAGATAGTTAATAACGCTTATGTCTATTTTAAAATAAATAAACATCTTTTCTTTTTTTATATAGTCAGATAAAATGCTTGGATAATAAATAATAATATTTAGTTAACCCATAACATCTAACAATTTTTAATTTAAAATTCTTTATTTAAGATACTATTGTTTTGATTGACATTTTATATAGTGCATTAAAAAGGGAATCGAAACACCATATTTCCTAATTCAATTAATTCAGTTTCTAAATCTATTTTCAACACAATCTAATGCTAACTCACTATATTAATCATCCATGTTTTATATAAGTTAAGAAACCAATTACTTAGAGAATTAGTCTATATCATATAGCTCTAAACTAAACAAGAATAAGTCAGCATAATAATAAATTCTATAAACTTTATAATTATATGTGTATGGATTCTCTCTTAAACCACCCAAAAATGACAATGCCAATTCTACTGTTGATATTATAAATGTAGAATTTAGTTTTGAAACCTAGTGAATAGGAAGAACAACTTTATTTGAAATTTAATATTCTCTACATCTTAAATAATAATTATAATAGGACTACGAAAATTGTCAAGTTTGATATTTTAAATAGAGGACCTATACAAATGACAAATTTCCTTCAATAATTGAAATATTACAACACATAAATGAATTAGAATTTATTGAAAAATTTAGTTAAGAATAATAACAATGAGAATTGAAAATTCATATTTATATTATGTATTAAAGTTGGACACATTCAATTATTATATATGGAATTATAGTATGAATAATTTAATAAATAGAAAGCTTGTTGTGATAAATTTTCAATATATTTAATTTAATTATAAAAAATTGAACTTTTAATAAATGTAAGATGTTTAAATTCATAAGCGTTAGTATCGATCAAAACTAATTTCCTTTTAAATCTGATAGTTATAAAAAAATAATATATTATCGTATGGATTTATTTATTATATGAAGAATTTAATTCAACTCCATCCAGATCCATAATTATCGTAATAAACCTTAGATATCTAATATGGATAATTATTCTATTTTCCATAGTATCCATGATTAGGTTATTCAACTTTCTAATAATCTTTTTTAATTTCTTATTATAGCTATTCCAATTAATTGTTATATTCTCTAGTTTTGCTATCATTTTCTTCTATTTTTTTCCATAGATCTTCTATTTATTAATTTAATTATCTTTCTTAATCTAGTGATTTCCTTCCATTTTTACTTTTATGTATATTCTCTAATTTATTATAGCATTCCTATAATTAATCATTTAATTATTTTTTATCTCTTTCAAGGTTTTAAATTTCTAATTTTATAGTTTAAGAATTTTTTATTTCAACTATTACTTAGTTGTTATTTGTTATCTATAAACCTTGTTGTTATGGAGGTTTGAATTCCTTTGAATTTTGTGATTAGATAGAAGTATCCTTTTAAATGCTATCAATACACTTTTACTTTTAGTATATTTCTCTATCTAACTCTCTTATTTAATTTAATTTATCTTTTCTTGATCTTTGAAGCTCTGCAATCTTTTCTTGGTACAAATTAATTTATTATTCATCTTAATCAATACCTTATTTTAGTTGTTTTACCTTATTTTTATAGAAATCTTATTCAAAAGATTATCTATCAATCTCAGATTATCTTTCATCTCTTATTTCAAAAAGAGTGTCTTTCATATCAATACCTATTTCTAGATCCTCTTGTTGTTCTTCCAAAATCTTATTAAAATATTCATTAATTTATTCTTAACTTTAAATTTAATTGTTTGAAAGTGAATAAACTTTTCTAACTTTAGCTAAATTAAAAAAAAAATTATTTAGGGTTGAATTGTTTTCAAAATTTTCATCAAAACGATTATACAATAACACTATAATTTTTTATTTAAATTTTTTGAATTAAGTAAATAAATCCATAAAATTTTGTTTTACTATGTCATTTCTTTCTAAATCTACAATAATGAACATAATAGATATTTGGTTTTAGTATTTTTTTAAAATTTACTAAAATTCACTAATCATTTCATTTCTTTCTTCAACATCTTAATTCATATTAAATTATGGAGTATTAATTAAAGCCCATTTGTTTTGTAAAATAGCAGGGGATTTAACAGTTTTAAATATTAAATTTTTAATATCTTATTCTTTACTGATAAATAAAGCAATTTACTTACCATTCAAATCTACATGTTTATCAAAACCATAATTTTGTTTGAAATAATTAACAAGATTGTATATTTAAACATTTACATATCTATTTAACTAATTCTTAATTTTATTGGCATCTTCTTTAATTTAATCATTGCTTATTAATAATATGAACTGATAATTTCTTTTTGCCTTTTTTAATTGAGTTATCACAGTTTCTTATTATTAGTTATTTGATTTCTTAATCTCATATATTATGTTAGTTGTTGTACTTCTCTGATTTTTCTCAATTTTTTCAATTTATTCATTTAAATTTTCTTCAATATTAGTAAAATGTATTTCACAATTTTAAATATTGTCTAAAACGTATTACATTTATTTGGATTATTAAAATAACTCACCAATTATAATTATTTTCATGATAAAAATATTAATGTTTTTCGAGAATCAGTATGAATATATAAATTAAAATAATTCTATTAAAAATATTATAATATATTATTAATCTCATGTTACTTTTTTGATATTTATTGATTATTCTTTAATTTTCTTATCAAGTTCACTCTTATATTCTAATTATTATTTAAGTGTTTTCTATTATGTTAATTTTTCAAATTCAACCATTTTTTCACACAATTTAACATCTAAAATACCTAAAACTTCATTCAATTCTTATTCTGTTAATGGATACATTTTCCCCCAATCAATTTATTTTTTACATCCAGCTCCACCTACTTTGAATGTTTCATTACCCAACTTCATTTCTTCGATTTTAATCTTTGTCTAATCTGTCATTAAATATTGTTTATTTTTTTCATTTAACACTATTTCTTTTGGTTTCACAGACTCATCAAGTTACACTTACAACTTCTCTTTTATGTATGTAACTTTAAATTTTTGAGGAGCCTATTCATTTTTGATAAATTCATCTAAATGATTCTCATTGAGACGTCCACAGATTGTGTTGCCTCCACAACCAGCTGCTTTGAACCAAATTTCACCACAATGATAACATTTTTTAATATATTTGGAGAAATGGTTCTTATGAGTTTATTTGTGTGCAGCTTCAATAAGATATTCATATTCTTTAAATAAAGTACTCTTAAGTTAAAAATGAATTTGAAAGGCCTTAAGTTATTCTTTTGGATTTAATTTATCAATTGTTTATAATGTTTCAATCTCAAATTTTTTCATAGTATCATCTACTGTTTATTTTGCAAATTATGTTATTGCATAGAAATAATCTGCTTATAATCCTATTGGTATAGTGTGTTCTTCTATATATTTTTTTGCTTATAGAAAAAAAGTATGGTAATATGTTATTAAATCACCTTTCAACATCTCAATTTCAAAAATCTCTCCTTCAACATAATCTGTCATATCAAAATTCTGGAAGATATCATTTTCAGTTAAAAAAACATTTTATGCTGCAGATGTAGCAATAATTTAATCAATTTAAAGACAGATACTCTCAGAAGAGTCATTTTTACCAACAAACATCACTGAATTAATTTTAAATTATGCAAGTTTTTATTGTATGTCTCTTTTATTTGATTCTTGCTTTTCTTTTTCACAAAAATCCCAACATGTAACAATTACTGTGATCATATGCCTATAATTGATAAATGCAGGTAAAATTCTTTTTACATCTTCTAAAATTACGGAAGTTCTAGCAAATCTAGCTAAAATAACAATTCTGTTAATTGGTCCTTCAGATAAAGCAGAAAGCACCCCTGCAATATGATCTATTTTATTTGAATCTGATCCAAAACCTGGGGTGTCTAATATTGAAAACCCTTAGCCCTCACATGATTTCTTCATAAAAACGCTCATCGTCACTGAATTTCCACCTGCTTGTGTTGTTTCTTAAGAATTTGTAATTTTGTTAAAGATGGTTGTTTTCCCTGATCCAATTTATCCTATGAGAACGATTGACATTTATTATTTCTATAAGGCTGTTTTTATCAATTAAATATAATCCTATGTGCTAAGTTTATAAAGTGTAGCATTTTTCTATTAGCTAATAGAATTCTAAGGGCTTAATAGATTTTATAAACTAATTCTAATAAAATTAAAAAAAAATATAAATAAGTTTTTTTTTATGAAACTTAATTATAATTTTTTATATTTTAAGAGTATCATTAAATTTGAAAAATCTTTGTTAAGTATATAATATTTTCATCCAAATTCAAAGATGGGAGATACGTTGTTATGGAATTTATTGAGCTTTTATTGCGAATTAAAATATTATGAAGCTCACTTTTTATTGAATTATAAAAAGAAGATAATAATGATATTTTTGAATCATATGATGAAGTATTCGAGGGAGGAATAATCCATAAAATGAATTCTTAATTATTTGACTAAGTGGAAATAGAACCTGTTAATAATTTTAAGTTTTAATATTTTAATCTTAATAGAAATTTGAATATTTAGGTAAATTTGTATTAGAAGATATTTAAAAAAGTTAAATTATTTAGTATATATCAATTTCGATATATTGAAATAAATTATGCCTGCTTAATTCAAATCATCATTCTAATATTAAAATAACTTTTATTTTATTTTTTTAAATTATATAATTTTACATATATACCTTTTAATTAAAATCATTTTAAATGTAGAATGTTGAATTATTTGTATTGATTTTTAAATATAAAAGTAATAAGTAGAAATATAAGAATTTTAATATATATCATACATGTTCATAGTTATGATAAATTCGAAAATATAGAGTTACGAAGAATGTATTAATACTTTTAAAAAAGGTTAGCTTATTTTCTAAATCTTATTTATGTCTTTACTTACTGATTTATAAATTAAAGTTGTAATCCTACAAATTACAAATAAAAGACTGATCTTGAAATTATATTGAGATTTTAATTGTTAATTCATAAATAACTTAAATTATTTAATTATTATAAATAATCAAGCTTAATGGCTAATTGAAATGTAGAATATTTTTAATTAAATACTTTATTTAATTTCTAAATTTAAGCATTAAATTCATAGGATTTCATGTTATTTAAAGAAAATAAAAAATTTTCAAAAAAAATATTAAAAATATGAAATATCTTTTTTAAACTATATACTACATATTATTGTAGACTGTGCTAGCCTAGTTGATGATTGATACATACAATTAGGTTGATATTAAAGGAATAGAGTTTGACTGGAGTGCAAGGACTCTACCCATAGGGGATTAATAACTTTTAATAGCCTAAAATATAAGAGGGTATGATTAGTTATTCTAAATCCAATTAATGATATTAGACATAATGAAAAATGAAGTTGTAAGAGAAATAACGATAGGAGGAATAGAGGAGAGCAACTTTTGCCCAGATATAATCATTATTAATAATTCTATATTTATTGCTTTCGTTAGGGAAAGAGGAAGTGTTCTTCATGTTTTGATGAAAAAATATAGCTTATCTCTTGAAGAATTGAATGTAGAATTAAATTTAGGAAGTACTATTTAAGAAGTAAAAATTATATAAACAATTCAATATATTTAACTTAGTCAGTTAAATTAAAATTTATTTTCAATTAAATGGTATTCATAAGGAAAAGAATATCCTACTAAGCAATGGAATATGGTATTGTATAATCCAACAACAGGAGTCAAAGGTGAGAAAATAATATTACCAGATAGCGACTTTATATCAGTAGCATAAAATAAATTGGGAGTTATTGCTATAGCATAATCTAATACTAACAAAATTATATTATCAAAATTATATGAAGGTAAATTAACTACAAGATCAATTCCATCATCTATATAATATTATAATCAACAGAAAGTAAAAATAAATAGTTTATCAACAAATGAATTTGTTGTTCTTAGATGGACAAATTAATTAGACTTTATAATTAGAAGATTTGATAAATATTTTGAAGGATCTCAAAATCCATTTACAATTTAAACTAAAGAATTTTGTAGTGTTGATAAAATTCAATAGATTGATGTAAGGTTTACAGATTCACAATTAATTTTAGTAAGTAAATGTTATTAGGAGATAAAATTATAATAAATTGATTTATTAAATATTTAAAATAATTAATACATTACAGAATAATATAGATAGATAGAGATTAAAAATAAATAAAATATATAATCTATATATATTGATTATATTGATCATAATAGATTACTACTAAGATGGTTTACTCCAATGTATTATTACAATGAATTGAAAGTTCAATTAATAGATATGAATTTAAAAATTAATGAATGTATATTAAATTGTGATAAATGTGATAACAGATTTAGATGTCAAGAATGTAAATAAAATTATCAATTGGATACTATTAAAAATCAATGTAATCCTATATGTCCTATTAATTGTTTATCTTGTTCTGATGCTTCTTATTGTGATAAATGTAAATTGGGATATTAATATACAAAAGAAAACTTATGTGTAAATCCAACGAATGATTTTATGGAACTTAAAGTAAGTAGAGAATTAGAAAGTAAGGGTAAAGCGAAAATAATTAATAAAGATTTTAATATTATTGTTATTTATAGTATTTATTAAAATGATAAACAATAATATTTGGTCATTAGAAAATTAGACATTCAAGGATAATTATTAATGAAAGTAATACTAGAGAATCAAAAAGATCTATAAACATTACTTGATTATGATATAGCTGATTCTTTAGTAGATGATATCTTTTATATATTAATTAAATGGGTTTTAATTGATGGATCAACAAAAACAATTAATTACTCATATAATTTAGAAGATTTAACAATTAAAGGAGAAACTTTGATAACAGAAGCATCACCAATAATGGTGGGAGATCAAATTAAAATAATTAATAATAAAAATTAGAATATTTTTATTTTCTATTTTACTATTCAAAATAATTTATACTATCTTTTCTTTATCAAAATTGATTCAAATGGTATTTAAACTAAATCTGATTATTAAATTTATTTTGGAAAAGATAATTTGGAGATTACATCATATAGGAATTCAATTGGTGATAATTATATAACACTCCTAAATGATGATACTTATTATTCGTGTTTAGTTCTGGACACAAGATTAAGTATTAGTAATCTGAGAAATCAAGATAGAACTGAATTCTTTTCATAAAAGATAGTTTAAATTGATAAAATTTCATTGTATGTAGGTCATGATGCTTATTTGAATAAGTAATTATATTTAAATAATACCGAAAACTTTAAAATTTAAATTACATAATCATCAAGATATCAATAAAATCATACATTCATTTAGGTTAGTGAAAATGATATAATTATGGTATGGTCTGGAATTTCAAATATTTAATAAAAAAATCCAATATCTCATATTTATATTTAAGGTTTCTCTAAAAAAACTAATTAGATTACTAATTTAAAATCATTTACTTGTTCTTCTGCTTGTTTTTAATGTTCAGAAACTGGAGTATGTTTATAATGTAAGAATAGTAATTATGTATTGTATAATGGTAAATGTAAATTATAATGTATTAATAATTGTGATTATTGTTCAGTTGAGAATGAATGTTTAAAATGTAAATTAAATTATTTCTTGGATTCATAATCTTAATGTATCTAAACAGAAAAAAATTATATTGTATAAAAATAAGATTATTTATATCCTACAATATTCTAAACTAATGATGGTATAGTATCTATTGTATCAATTAAAAGAAATGGTACTAAAAATGAGGTTGTTTATGAAGAATTTGATAGATAAGGATAATCAATATCAGGAGAAAGAAGAATATCAAATGATAGTAATTTGACAGTATTATTCTAATAACCTAAATTGATTAAATAAGATTAATTTATTCTTATTAGTTATTTAGTAAGAGATGAAATTAATAATTTATAAATAAAAGCAATATTTGTTATTTTAGATAATTAATATGAGATAATGTAAAATAATGTATCAATAACATTAAATTAAGATATCTTAATTGATATATTAAAGATTGATAATTAACTTTATATAGTTTATGACAGTACCTATGGTAGCTAAACACTATATCTATTTATTTAAACATTTACAATAAAAAATGGATTGATGACGGCAGAAACTTAGAGATATTATGGAGATGTGTTTGTTTTAACAAAGAGATATAAAAATTTAAGATTAGAACATTTAATCAATTAAAATAAGATATCAATATAATATACTGAATAAGATGCTATAGATTAAATAGTTTATTTATTTGATTATGTTGAAATAAAATTAACAAAATCTACAATTACTAGTTATTATGTTAACTATAATTATTATTAACAAGTATTTACAGTTTTGTACAAAGTTATGAGCAATCAGAAATTAAATTTGTAATTTTTAAATCAAAGAGGAAAACTTTTAAACACATAACCTCTAGAATCAATAAATGAATTATCTAAAGTACAAGTTGTAAAAACAAATTCCAACATTTATCTATTATATGCTGAATCCTCTGAATAAAATATAATGAATATTAATGTTAAATAATATGATTTAAATGGAATCATAATAGATGAAACTTAGATAAATTCAAATGAATAATCTATAGATTATTTATATGGTAATTTTCAATAAAATGAATTCTTTTATATAACATGGAGTTCTATTAAGAATAGAAAGTCATATAAGATGAGATTAAATTAAAAATTATAAAAAATCCCATTTGATGACTAAATATGTATGTCTCATTGTGGAGATTGTTCCAACAATGTTGATATTATGTGTACTTAATGTTTAGATGGATATCAATTTAATTAAGAAAAATTGATATGTTCACCTATTTGTTCAAATAATTGTTAAAATTGTATACAGCCTTATACATGTGATTATTGCAATAATAATTTTAAATATGTAGATAATAAATGCTTAAATGTTACTGAATATCAATTAGAAATACCAATTTGTCAATAAACATGTAGTGGAATAGGTTCAATATTGACTTTTAATGATAATTCTATGATAACTACCTATTATAATTATAAAAATTAAATGCATAGTTTAGATGCAAATGTATATTAATTAGAATCTAGTGTTATTACTATTAAATAATTAATTTCTTCAGAATAAGTAATTCCTTATCACAGAATTTATGAATATGAATCTAAAAAGTTTGCACTTATATGGTTAAGTGGAAATTGTTAAGTTTCTTGTAAAATGATGATATAATTATTCCAAAGTAGCTTTGTTGTCATAACAAATCCAATTGAATTAAGAATGATTAAAGTAGTTAATATAAATGAATTCCAAATTCAGATCAAAATATTTAATACCAATTTTATAATAGTTTGGACTGAAGTAGATGATAATTCTGTTTATTAGACATATGTTGGAATTTATAATATTAATGATGGATTTTCAATAAAATAAAATATAAATGAAAATTAAGATGATATCTCAATAAATCCTTAATTATTGATCTAGACCTCTTCATATTAAATAATCTATTTAAAGAATAATTATATTATAAATTCATTAACAATAGATAGTACAACTACAAAATACAAACAATTATATTAGAGTACAAATTAGATTGATTCTATTTCCTCAGACAATATTGATAGTAGTGGATTAGTTATAGGTTGGATAGAAAGTGAAATTAATTAATTAGGAATGTAAAATTATTATCTCAATGTTTAATGGTTTGATAGATAATTGAATTAATAAGCAGTTAAAAGAACTGCTGTAAGCTCATATAATTAAATTAAGAATCTAAATCTTAATTATATTTCTCCATTAATATAATCAACTTATGTATAAATTGAAAAGGGAGAATTGCAAAGATTACGTCAATATTTTATAAATATAAATTTTCTAAAATATGGATCAACTTAAGATTTGTTGACATCTCCATTAAATATTTTAAGTTAATATTAAGCTAATACAAAAATATTAACTTATGTAGACCCACGAAATTTGATGTCATATGTTGTATTTTAAGGAATAATGAATAATGTTAATTATATATTCTTTATTGAAAAGAAAGGATAATAATCATATTAAGATAATTGTGAAACTAATTGTTTCTATTGTAATAATAAAAATATATGTGTAATTTGTAAATAAGGGTATTCATTATAAAATAATAAATGTTCTTAGAAATTACCAGATAATTGTGCAACAAGTAGTTATGGTAGATGTTCATAATGTGTTCTTGGATATTCAGTAACATCAGATTATAAATGCTAACTTAGTGATTCAAAATATAAAGAAATTAAAATGAGTTATTATCCAGCTTAAAGTAGATAGAGATTGTCTACATTATCAAACGGAGATTATGTTGTTGTATGGTCAACATAATTTTATCAGAATGAAGGAACTGGAATTTACATGTCATTATATAATTCATAAGGAGTTTAATTGAAAGATTAAATGAGAATTACTGAATCATCAGCAGGAATTTAATAATATCCTGATGTTTAAGTAATGAATAACGATGAAATAGTAGTTGTTTGGGTGGATGGTAATATTAAAGTAAATGCTGATGTAAAGATGACAAGATTTGATAGAGATTTCTTAAGAATTGGAAATGAAATTACTATATAATCAGATATTCATCTTTATTATGCTTAATCATTTGATACACCAGTAGTCATTCAATAGATTATAAATGGGTTTGTTATAGTTTGGGCAGAATAAGGAAATCAGAAATAAATATCACTTATAACTAAATTCTTTGACAATGATAATAATTTACTTAATACATAAATTGTTACTGAAAATGAATCAATAATAAATGAACCAGTTGTAGCATCTACTTAATCAATTATTGTTATAGCTTGGTAAACCAATAAAGGAATATTCGCTAATTCATATAGCTTAAATCAATTTTTAATAGATAGAGTATAATTATCAACTACAGGAGAAGCTCCAGCAATTACATCTTTAGATAATTACATAATTATTGCTTGGAAAGAGTATGTAATTGATGAAAATGGTTTCATGAGTTAGAAAATAAGATTTAGAAAAATATCAACAGATTTAAATTAATATGAAGTTTAAAATCATTTTGGTATATCATAAGAGAATCTAGATAATCCTGATGTGATTAAAATAGAAAATGGATTTGCTATTATTGCTGAAAGTGTATCAACACTAGATGATTAAATTAGAACAATCTAATTGTAATTATTTAATTTGGATGGTTCACCTAAATCACTACCTATTATTGTCTATTCTGTTTCTAATTAATATCCACATCATCCTTAATTAATAAGTTAACCATAAGGAAATTTCATAGCATCATGGATACTTAGTACTCTGATATCATAAATCTTAAGTGATGATGTGTACATGAAGAGATATAAGAGTGATGGCACCTAATTATCATTGAATATAATCATTTGCTCAGATAATTGCTTGACTTGCTAAACTAGCGATGTTTGCTAATCTTGTAAGCAAGATTATATTTTATTATCAAATTTATGTTATCCAAAAATAAATAATTGCGAAACTCATTTAATTGAAAATTCAATTATCACTTGTAGTTAATGTTTATAAGGTTTTGAATTGATTAAAAACAATTGCTATCAAATTAGTACTGTTTCTAATGAATAAATAATAGAATTTGTAAATGATAAAACATCTTAAAATATATTCAAAGTTATAACTTTTTCTAATGGTGATCTATTATATATATGGATCGGAGATTAAGGAGTAATGAGTCAAAGATTTGATAAGTATGGTAAAAGATATTCTAATCCTAAAATATTGTAATTATCTTCATAATGTACAAATTGCAAATATTATTTTGATGTTTGTTAATTGAAATTTGATGAGGATCTATTTGTAGTTTCTTACAAAAGTTCGTATGAAACTTCTACAACTTTTATAAATATTTTTAATTTTAATGAGGAAAATATAGCGTATACTGTAATTTATTCATATTAAGGAACCCCCAATTCTATTATCTATTAAAAATACTAGAAATACATGGTTAAAATAGTATTATTGGAAAATATGAAATTAGGGGTGATTTAAATGGTGATGTAATTGGATATTCCTATTTTAGAATTAGTTACTATTCCATTTTCTTTTGAAAGTCCATTTAAAATTAGTTTCACACCTTACTTAACCTAAAAAATTCAATTACTAACATATTCTTAATTTAAAAACTCTTTAGATTTCGAAATTTAATTTAATGATAATGAACTAAGGCTCTATTAGAAAAATGATCTATCTAATACTTATGTAGAAACTAGTTTTGACATCTTTGGGGTTATATTAAATAAAAATAAAATATAGAAATCAAATAATCAGGTAGAATCTAAAATATATAAATTGAATTAAGAAAACTACTTAATTGTTTGGACAACCATTGAATCATTTAAATATGAAATATACTATTAGATTATACAATAAGATGGAATTATATTAAAAAGTTCTTAGAAACTCTCAATTGGAAGTGAAATTTATAAACTTGATTTATAAATTAATATGCTTTCTAATTCAATATTGATATCTTGGAGAGAAGGATCACAGTATTAAGATATGAGTTTGAATTCTGTTTATAAAGGAATTCTGATATCTAAACAATCATATTTATAGATGGGTGAAATCATTTCAATCAATTAATATAATGTTTATCTAAAATCATTGGGTAAACTTGAAGTAATTGAATTACAAAATGAAGATATAATAATTAACATAATGTTTTATAACATTTTGGCTCAAACATAAATGATTATCTCATACAAATTTAATTAAATGGGTGAAAAGTTACAATTTTCTTAGATGAGGTGCGGATATGCTTGCTAAGAATGTAATTATTAAGGACTTTGTCTCAAATGCACAAATCCTGATTTATTTATATTATAAGTTGATGGAAATTGTGTAAAAAAACCTCAAAATTGTGTCAATTTCTAAGCCAATTGTCTAGATTGTCTTAATGGTTTTTACAAAACCTAATATCTTACTTGTGAGAGAATTAATCAACATGTTGAAACAACAATTCCTTTGGATTATTAAAGCTACTATAGCCAATACTTCTTCTATTAGATTGCCACATACTCAACTGGTAATTTCGTGGTTGTAGGTTTTAGAGAGGAGAAAGTTATTGAACTTAATTATTATTTGAGTAATGGAACTTCTTAAATTCAAAAACTTAAAATTATAAATCTTATAAATATTTCTAGAATTAATGATGTGTCCATCACTATTGATGAGAATAACTAACTTACAATATTTTATTCCGTATTACCTATCGTCTATTCAGATAAGAATACTTATTACTATTAATAGTTTGATGTCAACTTTAATAATCTTACAGAACCTACCTTACTTTATACTGGTTTACAATTTTGGGAAACTACAACAATTAAAGCAAAAATTCTCAATGGAGGATAATTTGCAGTATTAATTAAGAGTAGATTTGATATTTATATTTATATTATGAAATCAAACTACGAATTTTTGGCGGATCTAAAACAACCTTTTAGCGAAAACTATGACTTGACTTCAAACGGAGAATTAATTGCGTTTGCATACACAAAGGATAAAATAACTGTCCTTAATGTATTTGATTTACAATTAAAATTAATTTAACATGAAATTATTAATGATGGAGGATTAGTTAAATTGACAACTGATTCACTTAAATAATTCATTATCGTAACTAATTATTAAATCAATATCTTTGCTTAAGGTTTAATTAGGTAATCCTATAATACTACAATGCAAAGTTTATACCCAATACATATAGCAATAAGTGATATAAATGAAATTGTCATTCTATCATTCTAAAAGAATTCCAAATCCTATCATTTAATGTATTTTTCAATGTAAGGGCAACTAAAAAACTAAGTTTAAGTAAATATGAATTATACAGAAATTCCTATACAATATTGTTGGTTAATGAAGTTGTAAAATAATAATTTTATTGTATTCTTTCATGCAGGAAGTGTACTTTATAATTGGAAATTAAATTTTGCAAGGTTTGATTAAACAGGATTGTCTAGGCCTATAAACGATATTATATGTCCTCAAGGTTGTGTCTCTTGCGTAACATCTTCAATATGTGATATTTGCGGTTTTGGCTACTAAAAAAATTATGATACTTTAGTTTGTGAACAAGTCTGTTCATAAGTTGAGTGCAGCAAATGCAAGTATAGTTAATGTGACGAATGTTTGAATGGATACTAATTTAATGAATAAGGATACTGTGTTAAAATTGATTAATAAATTGAACAACCCAAAGATCCTTATAATCCAAATTATGAAGAAGAAGTGAAAGATCCAAATAGTCCAGCAGATCCGAAAGATCCAATAGACCCTATTGATATAAAAGATCCAGTCGATCCAACAGATCCTACAAATCCAACTGATCCAACAGATCCAACAGATCCTACAAATCCAACTGATCCAACAGATCCTACAAATCCAACAGACCCTACAGATCCTACAAATCCAACTGATCCAACAGATCCAACAGACCCTACAGATCCTACAAATCCAACTGATCCAACAGATCCAACAGATCCTACAAATCCAACTGATCCAACAGATCCTACAAATCCAACAGACCCTACAGATCCTACAAATCCAACTGATCCAACAGATCCAACAGACCCTACAGATCCAACAGATCCTACAGATCCTACTGATCCTACAGATCCAACAGACCCTACAGATCCTACAAATCCAACTGATCCAACAGATCCTACAGACCCTACAGATCCAACAGATCCTACAGATCCTACTGATCCTACAGATCCAACAGATCCTACTGATCCAACAGACCCTACAGATCCAACAGATCCAACAGATCCAACCGATCCTACAGATCCTACAAATCCAACTGATCCAACCGATCCTACAGATCCAACTGATCCAACAGATCCAACAAATCCAACTGATCCAACAGATCCAACCGATCCTACAGATCCAACAGACCCTACAGATCCTACAAATCCAACTGATCCAACAGATCCTACAGACCCTACAGATCCAACAGATCCTACAGATCCTACTGATCCTACAGATCCAACAGATCCTACTGATCCAACAGACCCTACAGATCCAACAGATCCAACCGATCCAACTGATCCAACTGATCCAACAGATCCAACTGATCCAACTGATCCAACAGATCCTACCGATCCTACTGATCCTACAGATCCAACAGATCCTACAGATCCAACAGATCCTACAGATCCTACTGATCCTACAGATCCAACAGATCCTACTGATCCAACAGACCCTACAGATCCAACAGATCCAACCGATCCTACTGATCCAACAGATCCAACCGATCCTACAGATCCAACTGATCCAACTGATCCAACAGATCCTACCGATCCTACAGATCCTACAGATCCAACAGATCCTACAAATCCTAATATCCCAATCGATATAGGAACTATTGAACATCCAATCGAAGAGAAATGCAACATATAAATGCAGAATAGACTAATTAATTTTTCTGATAACAGATATGCTATCATTTACATTTGTAATGAATATTTTAGGGCCAAATTATTTAATTAAGATGGTTTAGAAATATCTAGTTTTACCATGATGATTGAAATCGTTTTTATTTTTGATACTGTTTTAGTTGAAGATCAAATTGTTTTAGCATTCGTTTATAGAAGTAGACTATAATAATGCCAATTTTTCAAAATTGATCCTAGTTTCACACTTATTATTCCTGAATTTGAGAGAAATTATAATTCTGAGATTTTAGATATTAAAATTCAACCTTTGATTAACAATTTTGCTATTTTAATCTCAAATAATATTGAATTTGGATTTGACTAAACATTAATGAATTGCTATACCTAAACCCTAACAATTTATGATAAACATTTTTCATAAAATGCTGAAAAAATTAATTTCAATTATCCTGAAGGTCTTACATAGAATAATTGTAATTAAAGCAAAATATCTGAAATTAAAGTTGTTGAAAATATCATCTATGCATTATCAATCAGTTCATCACAAGGATAAATATAAGCTTTAGATAGTTATGGAACAATTCAAAATACTTATTAAATAGATATTCCTAATATTGAAAAAATAAAATTTGAAATTAATTAAGACAATATTATTCTTTTATATAAGACTTTTGAGGCATAAGATTGGACTTTAAGAATTTGTGATAAATACTTAATTATCATTTTTATTAAAGTTAATTTTATTCCTGGTAACTCAGATATTCAATTAGCTATTGTTGCTAATAATTTATTCATATAATGGACTTAAAATGATAATCTTATGAGTTCCTAATACGAATTCTTAGATTTATAAGGAAATTAACTTTCAACAGGAGTCATATAGAGTGATATTTAGATTAGTAGTACTTAATCAATTGTTTTAATGAATACTTATGTTGGGTTTACTTGGACTAAACTAAATGAAGATGGTCAATGGGATATCTCATATGCTGTTATGAATTAAAATGGGTAATTTGTTAATACGATGGAGATCTAATGTTCTGAAAATTGCTTATAATGTATTAATTTTAAATAATGTACAATGTGTGAAACTAATTTTGTTATTCAAGAAATTAGTTATAACAACAACTATTGTTAAAAATAATGTGATTCTAATTGTTCTTCTTGTGATTAGATGGGAGATTGTTAAGCTTGTAAAGATTATTACTTTGTTGAAAATGGTTAATGCATTTTAGATGAAGTATAAGAGAAAGCAATTAGAATTAATTAGGAAGCATAAAAAATATTATTAAATTAAGAGGGGGCAAAATTTAGTGATGGCTCAATAATTTTGGTTTGGTCAAGTTATTCTTAAGATGGTGATGATTGGGGAGTATTTGCTCAATTAATTGATAATTTTGGGGTTAAAATTGGAGACAATATATAAATTAATACTAATTCTAAAGGGGCTCAGTGTCTTCCAAAAGTCATAGTATTATAAGATGATACAGTTGTTATCATATTTTTTGATGGAAATCCTTATTTAAATGAAGCAATAATAAAAGCTTAAAAATTTGATAAGCAAATGCAAAGAATTGGAAATGAATTTGATGTTGGTACAACTTAATTTTATTCATATAATATGTTTAATCATAAATATATACAAGCGTTAAGCTTATAAAATGGAGGATATGTTATTGGATTTTTTAAATAGGCATATTAAATGATGGATTATATTAATTTAAGCTTTTATGATTCATCCAATCACTTAGTAATTCAAAAAAGAATTGAAGGAATATATGTTTTTAACTAAATTCCTTTTGATTTAGCTAAAACAGATATTAATATGGCCATATTTTATATTTCAATTGATCATCAAAAGAGAGTTCAATTGTATTCATTTGACGGAAAATTATTATTAACAAAATAATTTGATTAATTTAATATTTTCCCACATGAGTAAATTATTTTAGGGCATACAAATGATTTTTACGCAATAGGATATGTTTTCTTTTAAGAAAATACTAGAATAATTTAAGTGTTATTATTTAATAAACAATTTGATGAATTAGGAGATCCTTTAACAATTAGATAAGTAGAACATAATATACCATAAATTTCAATGAATGAAGGTGATTAAGGAATATACTTAATAATTCAATTGAATATTAATTCTTTTAAATTTTAAGAGATGTATTTCATAAAGGACCAATAATATTCTTTAGTAAATAAATTCTATATAAATACTTTTCGATTTTTTTCATTCAATTATGACGAATATATTTAGATTATTCCATCATTGAATTATTCATACTTTCTACTATGGACAAAAGGAAATTTATTTAATATTCAGGATAAAATTAATTATTATTTTTAGCTTTTATCATAAGATAAATAAATAATAGCATAAAATTAGATAGTTTGTTCATTAAATTGTTAGTAATGTTAAGATTAAACTATTTGTGATTAATGTCTTAGTAATTATTATAAAATTGAAAATAATCTTTGTCATCCTCTTTGTGAGGAAGGTTGTTTATACTGTAATTTTCCCTATATTTGTAATTTATGTTAAAAGGGTTATTATTTAAAGGCAGAAGGAAAATGTTATGAAATTCCTATTTAATCATAGCCTACAGTTTTATAAGAATATGAAAGATATGATAATATATTTTAAGTAGAAACTGTAAATGAAATTGAAAAAGTTTATTTATCTTTTAGCAGTTAACTAAATGTTAGAGTTTTGATTGGAGAATAAGTAGTTAAAACCTTTTCGGTTATATAATAAACAATAGATTTTTATAGATTTAGAAAAACATTTTATTTTGATGAAAATATCATATTAATATTCTATTCTGAGAATGATGTCTAGGTATAAAGATATGATGTCAATTCAAATCTAATAAGCTAAGATAAATTAGATCTTTCATAATTTTCAGATTTTTAAATTTAATATGATGCATTAATTTTAGAACCAATATTGGGTTAATAATATATCCTTACATTTTATCAAGTAACTACTAATCCAAATGACTCTATGAATCTTAACTAATTATGTTTCTATTATACTAAATTAGATTTAAGATTATAAAAAGTAGAAAATGTTTAGATCATTTATACCTTTTAAAATAGATTTCATGTTCATGTTGAAAATAGAGAAAATTATTTTTAATTCTCAGAGTTCAATGGTGAGAGTTATTAAATAAAAAAAGATACAATTGAAGAAATGTTCTGTTATAATAAAAGAGAATAAAGCATAGGTTAATGTAATTTACCTTTATAAGAAAATTGGAATATTATTAAAATATCTCATTTGGTAAAAAGTGATTTACTTTTAGATGAACTTATCATTATTTAAGGTCAATATACGATAGTAGATGCATAGGGAAAAGTTATAATGTAAACTACAAATGTTTTAAGTTAAGGTTTAAAAAGATAATAAATTCTTAAAGTTTTTTAATATATCAACTCATTTGCAATTATTATTGAAGAATTAAACAATTCTAGGTTTTATGAATAAAGATATTTGGTTGCTTAATATATATATAATACTGGTTAAAAAATTGGAGATTAGATATATATATGTTCTTAACCTTATAATATTGTTGAGATTACTTAATATTAAAATGGATTTAAAGTATATATACAAAAGGAAGAATGCGATGATTAATAAATATGCACAAATAATTTATACTAAATGATATTTGATAGAGATAATGATCTACCAGATCCATCTGCCCTATCATAAATAATCAATGACCCTGTTAAGGATGGTAAAGCAATTGAAGTATTAGAAAAATGTACTTAAGAAGAAATTAAGGAACTGATTAAATTTTCTAATAATGATTATGCTATAGTATATATTTGTTAGAATATCTTAAGAATCAGAAAATTCAATTAAGATGGATAAGAAATAAAATTTGTTGAAATTACTTTATAAAATATACATCTATTTGATGTAACAGTAGTAGATGATCAAATTTATGTTATTTTAGTTTATGCAACAGATAAAACAATTAGTAAAATATATAAATTAGATGATAATACAAATACTTTATTACCATAACTGGATAAAAATTGTGATTTAGAAATTTTAGATATTAAAATTGAAAATATATCAATGAAATATGTGATATTCATAACATGTTTGAAGAATTATGTATTTGATAATGTATCTTAAATTGGACGTTCTTAATCATTATTTGTTTATGATAAATAAAATTTGAAAATCTTTGAAAAAATAGATATTAATAATCCTGATATATTTACAATTAATGATTGTGATAAAAATATCATTTAGGCAATTAAAGTTTTTGATGGTTATATCTATTTAATAAATGTTAATTTATCTTCAATAAAAGCAATATAATTAAATGACTATGGAGTTGTGTTCACTACAGTTACTGTGAATATACCAAATATCTCCAAAGTCAAATTTGAAATGAGTAGAAATTTAATTGTATACATGTATTAAATGTATGGTTAAAAAAGTTGGTTCTTAAATCTTTGTCATGAATTTAGCTAATGCTTTTATAATGGTTAATAGTATTTGTAAGGAGTCTAAGATTTCTCTATAGCAGTATTCTATAATACATTTGTTATCTCCTATAGTGAGAAATCAAACAAGAAACTTATTTATAAAATAGTAGATAATCAATAATAGATAACTTTTTCAGGATACATTTTGATTGATTCATAAATAAGTAGACCAATATTAGTAAACTTTAATAATTAATAAATTGGATTTGCATGGGAATTTAAAAATAATGAAGCATAATGGGGATTATAATTATCAATAATCAATAATTTTGGAGATTTAGTTAAATCTATAACTAATATTTGTCCACTTAATTGTGATTAATGCATAAGTAATAATGAATGTACAAAATGTTTGGATGGATATTAAATCTAACATGATTAATTAAATGGGGGATTATATTGTTAAAAGTTTGTTGATTCTATTTGTTATGAATTTGCAGCAAATCAATGTATTTTATGTCCTTATTAGCTTTATCCTTATTAATAAGGTTGTATAGAAGATTATTTCTAATAATATTCATTAGTTGTTAATGAATTTACAATATTTGCATAAACTAAACCTTCTTTAGGTGTATTTAGTGATGGTTCAATTATTTTAGTTTGGAATAGCGATTATTAAGATGGATTTAATTGGGGTATTTATGGTTAGATACTAGATAGTCAGAGATAAAAAATAGGAAATAATTTTTAAGTGAGTAAAACTACACAAGGAAACTAACATTCTCCTTATTTGTAAATATTAAATGATGATACTGCTATTATTTTATATATTGAGGGTAATCCAGAAAAAGGAGCTTTACTTAAGGTTGCTAGATTTAATAAAGATTAATAAAGAATAGATGATGACTTAGATATTGATTACATTAAATTTGATATGTTTAATATCAAAAATGATTACATTGCTAAAGTGTTAAAATTAAAAAATGGAGGATATGTGATTGGATATATATCAATTATTGGAGAACCTTAAGAAAAAGTATTAAAATTAAGGTTCTATAATTCTGACAATTAAATAGTAAATACATAAGAGATTCATGGTTATTTTTTATAAAATATCCTGATTTCATCAACTGATCAGAGAGTAGCAATTTTATTTCTTAGATAAATATTTATTTATTCATTAGATGGTACATAAATTATGACATAAGATTTAACATAATTTGATTCTATGTCTATAACTTAATTTTACTTAGGTAGTACCTCTTAATATTTTGTCATTGTATTTGTTATGGAATTAGATAATATTATATCAATAAATGCTCAATTTTATGATGAAAACATTGTATCTTATGGAAATCAAATATTGGTATAAGAAAGCTAATAATACTAATTTATTGACAATATTTTCACCTGGGTTTAGTTCATTTAAATTGATTAATACAATGGAGGACTTACCTTGTTGATTGAATTTAGAAAAAATGGTGTTGCAGGAATATAAGAACTGTATTATATTAATTCTAATATGGAATTTAAATTGATGAATAAATTCAATATCTAACCAAAATTTCAAGAACCTAATTATAATTCTATAAAAATGGTTGAATCATTAGATTAGTCATTTTTTGTAGTTTGGTCTAATTATTAACATTACGATACTTACGATAATTCAAATATTCATATTTAAAAAGTAACTGCTTAAGGTGAATTTATAAATCAAATGACATTAAATTGTAGGTATGGTTGTATTAAGTGTGAAAATCAAAATCAATGTACCTAATGTCTAAATGAAATTTAACTAATTGATGGAAGATGTTCTTTAATTTGTTAGTAAAATTGTAGCTTTTGTATCCTCCCCTCAGTTTGTACTTAATGTAATGATGGATATTATGAAGAATAGTAAGGAATTTGTGCTCCTCTAAAACCAGACTATCATTAACCTTAACCTTTAATTGATGAAGATATTTAGGGGAATGTTTAGGAACTAATAAGGTCAAATGATGGAACTATATGTGTGTTATCTACAGGTATTTCAATAATAACTAATATTCCTTTTTGGAATTTTTATATAATTTAAGAATAATAAATGACTAAGAAGGTATCAATAGAGAAATAAAATGGATTTAAGATTAAATCACCTTATTATATTCATAAAATTGAATAAGATTATTTAATTGTCTATAATGAATAATAATCAATGGGCATTATAAGAATTAATTAAGATTAATAAATTATCATTGATAAAGTTATTAGTTTTTAGGAAATCTTTGTTGAATAATATATATATTCATATCAAGTATTTTTGTAACCATTAGTGGGTAACTAGTACTCTCTAACGTATTATAAATTCTCATATGATTAATCAATAATGATATATAAAATAAATTTGGATTCTGAATTAAATTTTATTGGATAACCATAACTTTTATTTGAATTAAGAGATGTATACCTGAAATATGATAAATTATATTCTAGAGATAAAACTGCTATTTTGAATGGAGATTAATTAATTTGGAAGAATTGCATATATTCTTAATTATTAAAGTAAACCTCTTGTGAAATATTTGATTTACAAAATGGAAATCAAATTTAAATTTTGGTAGATTCAACTTATTAATATGATGCTGTTTTGAAAGGAATAAAATCTATTTATTATAGAGTATTAAATAGTGAATTTATACCTATTACATAAGAATTGAGAGTAATAGAAGGTAAATTATAACAAGAAGAATTTATGAAAATTGTAACATTTGAAAATACATTTGCAATAATTGTAAAATCATTAAATAATTACGAAAATTAAAAGTTTTAATTGATTGTTTAATATTTTGAAAATTCAGGTGCTAAATTAGGTACACAAATATATATAGGTTTATATTATTTACAAAACTTTGTAAAGATTATTTAATCTGAAAATGGTTTTAAAGTATTTTGGTAGATATCATTATGTACAGATGCAATATGTTAAAGTTTTATCAGGAAAATATAATATAAAGAATATGATGATCAAGGAAATGAAATTACTAATAGTTAATAAATAAATTGTATTTAAAATTGTGATGAATGTATAAACTCAAGTTATTGTACAAAATGTAGTATAAATTACTTATTAGATACTAATTCATAATGTATTTTAGAATGTCCATAAAATTGTATAGATTGTTCAATAATCTCATAATGTAATATTTGTTAAGATGGATATGAATTAGTTAATAATTAATGTATTAAATTAATTTGTCCAAATAATTGTGATTTATGTTCAAAGATATCAGATTAAATAGTTTGTAATAAATGTTAAAGCAATTATTAATTAAATTAATAATAATGTTAACCAATGTGTGCATCAACTTGTAGAACATGTGATTTACCATTTATTTGTACAAGTTGTCCATAAGGATTTATATTAACACCAGATGCTATATGTAAATTTGAAGATGAATCTATTATTGACCAAGTCAAAAATACAATTGTTAGTACACCTTTAAGATATACATTCCCAGATTAATCTTATGTATAAGTATGGTATTAAAATGGTGAATAAGCAGGAGTATATTTCTAATTATATACACCTGATAATATTAAAATAGGAGAAGAAATTATAGTATCAGATTTAAATAGAAGATTATTAGTAGATAATTAAATAAAGAAAGAATATTATGCTCATTTAGCAGCTGTTGATTATAACTTTTATATTATTTGGGCTGATTCTACTACTGATTAAACTAATTTCTTATTACAAGAATTTGATTCAAATGGTTCTAAATTGACATCTCCTTAATCTATAGGTGTATCTAATAATAATGTTTTATCATAAATTAATAAACCATGTGAATTATTAACTTTATCCAATTAAAATATTTTTGTATCCTTTATGACTCAAAATACTGAAATTTAATCAAATTACAACTTTAAATATTAAATATTTGATCCTAATCTTTAAAGTATCAATGAAATTTAAGAGATTCCTAATATAAGTTATTTAACAAGTCCATCAATCATAGAGGATGATTAAGGAATGATATATATCAGTTATACAAGTGATGGTTATGTATTTGTTTAATAGATTACATAATTTGGTAATCCAATTAATTCACCATAAGCTATTAGTGATGATGGAACATTTACAATAAAAACAGCTTATCTAAAAAATTAAATGTTTGTATTTTTATGGGAAAACAAGAATATTTAAACTTTCAAAGCTATGTTCAGTCTTAACTATTAATTAATTTCTAAAGATTTATCTTCAAGAAGTGAAGTTAAAGGAATAGGTATATCTTAAGTTTAAGAATAAACACCAGATTTAAAATTATTCAATGATGGATTTTTAGTTGTATGGAGAACTACAGATTCATAATATTAACCAAATGGAATACAATTTTAAATATTTGATTCTTTAGGTGTTTAATAAAGTGAAATTATTAATGTAGCCATTTCAGGAAAGTATCCATAAAATCCAAATATCTAAATAATTAATGATGATTAATTTGCTATTACATATATTTCAAAAGGTATAGATGTAGATGGATCTATTTTGGGAGATAGTATACAAATTAAATATTATAATAAATAAGGACAAGAGTACTTTATAACTACTCCATAATTATGTGGAAAAGAATGTAATATATGTTAATCTCCATTGAATTGTTATAGATGTTCGTATGGTTATTATCTATCTTAGGATAGTTAATGTATAATGGATTGTGGACTTTATTGTAATTAATGTTAAGAACCATTTGTTTGTTAATCTTGTGTGAGTGGTTATTCATTAAATTCAAATAATTCTTGTAATTAAGTTGAATGTCCTGAAGGATATTAAAGAAATTAAAAGACTAAATTATGTGATCCTGAATGTCCAAATGAATGTATATGCAAACTTCCAAATATATGCAGTTCTTGTATAGCTGGTTATTATTTAAAGGATAGTTAATGTCATTTAACATCTAATTTTTTAAATGAAAGTCCAATTTCCAATCCTTATGTTTTCTATGCATTAATTGTAGTATGCATAATATTATTAATAACTTGGATTTGTTGTTATAAATGTTTTAGTCATTATAGATTGAAAGATAAAGTTCAATTTGTTTCTGATGTAAATAATTAAGTCAATGAACACATTTATAGATAAAAATCATCAGTTGAAGATCGTGAATAAGTTAATTAAGATGATGAAATATTGATAAACAATTAAATAAAATAAGAGAATATAGATAATAATCCTATTAATAATTAGGATATAAATGATCATGTTTTTAAGATTCCAAATACTTAGAATAGAATTAGCGATAATCAATAATTAGATAATTCAAAATAATCAAATTAAGAAGTTATTATTAAAAAATAATATCTATCCATTTTCAACAAAGATAATGAATGATATCAATATATATATAAACAAATATATAAAAATTTTATTTTTAAAATATATTTTCATACTCTAAGTTATTTTTTATTAAGTTTTCTTCCCAATGCTTTTTCAAATAAATTATCAAATAATTTTTCTATTTGTTCTGGCAATTATTATTAATTAAAACTGAAATTATTAAATAATATCTTTTCTTAATTTCCTAAAAATATAGGTTTCCATCCTTCTGAAATCATTATTTCTTTTTTGGCTTATTTTTTACCTGTAAGATTATTTCCTCTAAAATAAACTGAACCTGATAATTCAAATGCTACTTTAGCATCTTAAAATAATAATGCTATATCTATTAAATATATCCAACAAGGAGCATCAACTTTAATTTTAACTTTTTCTTCTAAAGTTTTTACATACTGGCGAAAGAAATTGATAAGCATATTTTCTTATAAGGATTTCTACATCTATTTACTTACACGTTTTGGTTTCATTATAACTTCAGGTACTTATAATTCAGGATGACGTAGTTTTAATATTTTAATGCATGTTAAATAACCCTAAGATAATAATAATAATAATACATTTTAAAATGAATGATTTCTAGTTTGGAGCAATTTAGTAGATTATAATAATTTAGATTCTATAAATTTTAATATATCTGTATCATTAATATTTGCATAGATTAAAGCAAATATTCTTTAAAAAACTTTATTTTATTGATATTTATTAGTCAATTAAATTTAATATAGGATTTCAGATTTTAAAAATAGAAGTAAATCCTAATCAATAGATCCATTTGTTTTCCAGATTTCTAAAATTCTATCCAATTCTTTATGTAGAATTTTAGAATTGATTTATTGTAATTTTTGTATGATTTATTAAATAATTTAAGATTCAGATCCATAACTTTGATACATTGTTATTAAATTATTTAGATCTAATTCATCTAAATGTTTATCTAATACAATTTATAGTTTGTTTCTAACAATTTCATAAACATCATAAAAAGAAATTGGTTAAACTCGACTAAATTTAAAAAATATATTAAGTAAAGTAGTTAAGGCCTCTAAATAATTATTTATTTAATCTCGATCTAATTTCATTTGATTTAGAATAGTAAATAATTATTTTTCTGTTAGAATAAGAGGTAAATCATATTCACTATAATGATATGACTCAAAAGGTGATTCTTACATTCTAAACTTTCTACTCATAAACATAAATATTTATTTAAGTGCTATTGATAATTCAGGTAATGGTATAACTTCTACGTTATTGCAAATTTATTCTATAAGATTTTACCAAGCATTCAAATCTAATACACTGAAGTGATTCATAATTTAAGATACATCTTAAACATATTATGGTTTTATGAATTAGAATAATTCTTCATTCAATTTTAAATATTCTTCATCACCTTTTTTTTCATATGCTAAAAAATATAATTTGAAAATTTCATTAAATTAAGGAGTTTTAAACTAGAGCTTAATATCTTTAATACAACAATCATTCAAACCATATTTATAAAATTATTTGTCTCCAGGTTTAAGGAATTAAGAGAAACAATACTTAAGAATTTTTAATTTCATTATTTAATTGTGTTATTTAATTAATTTATCTATTTTTATAAGTTTTAAGAAAAGAATCATTTAAATTCATTAATAAATATTTATTCTGCCATTTCATCACTACTTTAATATAATGCAGCTGCTCGTTCCCAAATGATTTCCTCAAGTATTGTTTCAGTTATCTTAATAGTATAAATAAATAAATAAATTACTAAATCAAATTATTCAAGATTTTTAGGATAATACTATTTATCTTAAGTAATATATTGAATTCTCTTCTTTCTATCTTCCATTATTTTAATTATAAATCCACTTGACAATTCTATTGAACGTAAACGATCCATTGGATTTACATAAAATTATTGATCTCTACCCAATTATTCAACAGGCACATATTATTAATCAAGTCTTGCTATAAATATATCTATTATTACTATCTCTCATAAATTATTATCTTGTTTATTAAAAATTCTATTCAACTTTATCTTAATCTAATGCGATATCTTTAACAGCTTCTATATAATCACATAATGCCATTTATTCATATCTCTATCTTTCTTCTTCTTTCTTTTTCATTTCCAATGTATCTAATATATCTACCATTTCAAATAGTAAATCATCAATCAATAATTCTGTTAATCTTTCAGAATGAACTTAAATCATTTTAGATACTCCTCTTGCTAATAAATGTCCAGTAAATGGATATTCAATTTGTACACTATCTATTTTCTTAACTAATGGATCCACTTTCCCTTTAATTTTATCTAATTTTTCATTAATTTCTTTATAATATTTATTTGGATTCTAAGCTTCAGATCTTAATAATTATTAATGTTTATCTATTAATGCATCTAATTCATGTTATCTTTATAATTCTCTTTTTTATATTTCAATCAATTCATTTTTTAATTTATTATCATCAATTTTAACTTATTATTATTAAGTTTATTTTTGTGGTATTATATCCAAATCATTTTAATCATATTATCCAGGTAATAATGGTTTTTTAGCTTCATAATGAATTAAATTGATTCCATCCTTCCAAATAGGATAATTATTTTATTATGGTTCAATATAGATATAATCAATATTTTTTTCAATTTACTTTTTTTTATCTTATTTCTTTTATTCTTTTGTTTTATATGGTGATTCTTTATTTTCTATACCCTTCTTCTTAGCATTCATAATATCTTAAGCCAAATCAGGATGTTATTATGTTTTCATTTATTTTAACTTTTCTTCAAATTGTTTATTTTATTCTGCCTTTTATTTCTTTTCTTAATCTATCATCCATTATAATTATTCTAATTCTCTCTTTTATTTCTTCATTTCAGAAACATCCTTCTTATATTGCTCTAATCAATATAACAATTATTACAATCATTAATCACTTATTCAATATCTTTAATAGTTGCATATGATTTAACTGCTGCAGGAGGTGGATTTTCTAATTATCGTTTTTTATTCTCTTTTTCTCTTTCAATTTTTTCTTTTTACAATTTAGTTTCAATTTTGAAAATTTCATTCTTCTTCAAATTATCAAATTATTTTGGTTTAGATTCTACTTTATCATTCCAAGAAGGTTTTTATTTCTCTTGTTATTATGCACTTGAAGGACGTACTTTTTAAACTGATTCTATTTTCTATTATTAAACTTTTTTAGAAGCATCTTTGAATTTGACATTAGAATGTTGTTTATTTTATTTTTATGGTACCTATATTAAATGAATATAGAAACATTGTCAAATTTTATAGCTTTTGAAGGTTATAATTAAGATGTTGGTTAATGTTAACCAAATGCTAACGAGTCTTAATTATAAAATTAGTTATCCATATTTAAAATATTATTATTATTATATATATATATATATATATAAAAATAGAAAAAGATCATGACTATCTAAATACAAAGCTAGATTATCTTGTTTAATAAGGAGAAATGGAAGGTAATTATAAATGAATTCTCTTCTAACTATTAACTTTTGGTAATTGTATATCTAAAGATGTTTTATATCTGGATGTAAAATCTAGAATATTATTTAATATCATTATTATTACTGTAACAACGATTAGAATTAAGAATTTTATTTTTTGTTGATACAAGATCTTATGATGATGTCACCTTTGTTAATTGAATAGTCTTCAAACTCTAAGGTTTGTAGTAAGTTTTCTAATGACGAATATTGATATGTGTATCTGTATAGACTCTTTATGTTTTTGGAGCATCATCATGAAAGAAGATCTCATTTATTTCATCAGAATTCTAAGATTTTAGATAATACATTTATTCATGACATTATTATTTGAAGATTTTTATCATTTGCAATGCCTTTACTATCTAATAGATTAAATGATTATTTACGAGTTGAAACTTTTAAATAAAATTATATCTTTAAATGATTTCTTTATTGGTAATTGGATGAGATTTTCTATCTTCTCCTAATAACCATGGATGTTCCAAACATTGTTCAGCTGTCATTCTATCAATTGGACTATGAGTAATAGTATTCTTAATGAAATCCTAAGCCATTCTATAAAAAATTATTAAATCATATATATACTCAGAAAGATCCGAAGGATAATTAATATGAAATTCACGAGATAGAGTATTATAATAATCTTTTTTAGTTAATCCCTCAGTCCAAATAGGATGTTTATTATTACACAACATTTGATAGAATATAATTCCAAGAGAAAATATATCAAGTGCCTTATATTTTATTATGAATAAATACTTGCGTTTATTCACAACCATTAATGAGTTCAGGTGCAATATAATATGGAGTTCCAACTTGTTAACCTATTACACCTCTACAAACTATTTGATATCCTAATCCTAGATCAATCAATTTAACGTGATTTCCATTAGATATAAAGATATTCTCTAAATTTCATATTACAAAATACCAGGTTTTAGATCTCTATGAATGATTCCTTTACGATGTAAAAAAGCTAATGCATTTAATACTTAAAGCATTATGTTTCTAATTTGAAGTTCATCAAGTGATTGTTCTTTTAAAATAACATCTAATGTAGTTCCAGTTAGTTTTTCCATAATTAGATAGATAAAATTATAAGCGACTAGAACCTTAAAGAATATTAGTTATAATTCTAACCTTATACAATTTTACAATATTTGGATGAGAACATTCTTACAAGAGTGATGACTCATTCTCTTATTCAAAATATGGTGTAATCTAGTGTTTTATGACTCAATACTTTGATAGCCACCACTTTATCTAATGATTAACTATTAGCTGCAACCACAATACCGAAGCTTCCTTTTCCCAGTACTTCTATATATGTGAAGTAATCACTCAGTAAGATATCGTTTAAATTATCAATTAATTATTAAGGGTCCATTATTTTATATATATTAATATTTATTCATCACTTTGAATTTGTCAATGAACAAATGTATACTACACCTTCTCCTCCACCAAATGAAAATTTATTACTCTTATTTCCATAATCTACACAGTATACTCCTATAAAAAATATATGAGAATTATTTATACCTTCTTATAAATCTTGAATATAACCACATGTTTAATATTGATTATTAATATCAAACAACTTCAATTCTTATTTACCACTACTACCAGCCAAAATTGTATCTCCATTAATTTTACTAAATTGACAAGAATAAACATAGAAATCACTGTTATTATTATTTTAATCCCATTATATCTCCTAAATTAGTTATCTGGTACCAAAATCCCATAACTATAATTAATTATTTGTTCTATATGAACCTGTCAATATTTAACCATTTCTATATAATTATATAAATAGATACCTAAAATCTAAACTATCCCCAGAAAGATTAGGACCATAGATAGTTCCAATAGATTTATGATCTCTAAGATCCCATATCAAAAGATTACCATCCCATCCACCAGATAGTAGAATATTAGGTGTTTCTTCTAAATATTTAAGAGCAAAGATTCTATTCTGATGACCTGGTTAATTGCTTATTTAAATAATGATTATACTAATCAGCCTTATCAAAAGTATGAATAATTTCCTTCTTTTCATCATCATAAACACGTATCTATTATAAATCAATCTATATTAGAACTAACTTTAAAATCTTTGCCAGCAGTAGCAAATTAATCACCATCTGATCTTATATCTAAGGCCAATAATTGATTGCCTTATTCTACTGTTCTGAATAATTGTTTTCCTGTTTGAGCCTACCACATCATAAGAGAGCCATCAGAATTTGCAGATAAAAACACACTTTTGGCTTTATTGGCTACATCTCTTCTCCATCTTATTGCTGTTGTAGGACTAGCTCCTTCTGATGATCCTTATAAATTGAATGCCAATTTCCCTTTAATATATTTAAGAATTCACTTTACCAGACACTATGTTAAAAACCTTGACTGTTCCATCAGAACAACCAGCTGCTATAAGTTAATCTTCAAAATCAAATCTCAAACAAAAAATTTCAAATTCAGGATTTCCAAAAAATGTTTTTAATGATATTTTTTTGGACTTACTTTGTACTTCACCAAATCTTTTTATTAGATATATAAATAGATACTTTAGTTATCCATAACTATATTATGTTTATTTTTTATTTGTTTTCTTTTTATCCCTAGATGTTGAACGATCTTTTCTTTATTTTGGGTCCATTTTAATAATAATTAATTTATGAAATTTTAAAATCCAAAAGGCATCTTGTCTGTGATCTTTGTTTATGCTATTATTTTAAGTGAGTATTATGTATTTGTATTTCATTATTTACCTTATAGATATATCAATGTATCATATTTATAATTAATATAGAATAGTGAATCCACAATTTTAATTGGAATTGAATTCACACTTATTTACATTATGATTCATTGGGCCTATATTCAAGCTTAAATTTAATCACCTGGTCATCCATCTCCTGATTTAGTATTAATATATTCCCTTAATCTTAGGCTAAAAATTATCAAGAACAAACATTAGAAGAAATCAAGAATAGAACTAAAAAACATTCAGAAATCATACAAAAAAAAAGAAAACAAAAATTAATGAAGAAATATGAATTGGCAATAGATGAAGAAGATGAAATATTGTAATCCAATATTAAATTATATCATATTTAGTGACATCATTTAAGCTATGTAACTTGATTCCTATTGTTTCAAATGCAAAAATGTCAAATAACCCAGAACTCATCATTGTAAAGAATGTAATAAATGCATTCTTAGAATGGTATTTAAAAAAAAAATATATATAAATAGGATCATCATTGTCCTTGGGTCAATAATTGTATTGGATTGAAAAATCATAGATTCTTTTGTTAATTCATAATCTATGCATTACTATGTATGTCACAATGTTTTATATTCATCACAATTGATCTTTTTGGTGACACTTAATTAAAAGGAGATTCAAAATTCCTTTGTCAAATGTGTGCATTAACATGTTTACTTTTATGTCTCTCTATGGGGACACTTTTAGCATTTCATTTATATCACATTTCCAAAAATGTGACTACTGTAGAATTCCATATTGAAGAAATGAAAACAGATAATCCATTTTCAAAATCTAAGATTATTGATAATTTTAAAGAACTCTTTGGTACTGAATATATATATTGGATTCTGCCATTAACCGAAAAAGAAAGTAAGATTAAAATTAAACATGACTCATTTGAATTATGATTAGTTTTCATAATTAAAAAATTGTTTTATTTTTTTACATTATTATTATATTCATACTAATTTAAAATCTATTGTTTCTGTATCATTTTCTTTTTATAACTCTATCTAAATTAATTTAAAGATTATCACATACATATCATTTATAATATTGAATTGTATAAATATTCTATCAGATAAAGATAAAGAATATAAATAAAAAAATTGGTGGATTTATTGAACCTATTCTATTATTAATTTAGTAAGTTGTGTGTTTGGTTAAAAGTAGAACTATTCATATATTTATAAATATTAATAGAATTTTATATTTTACAGCAGATATCAATGGTTTTAGTATATAATCCTACATAGAATTTCTATTATAAAGATATTAAGTATATTTATTAATTTATAATGAAATAAGCATTAAATCTATCAATAATTTTTAGGATTATGATAAATTCTTTTTACTTTATGATTTTAATACATTAATTGTTTATTCATTTATATTAGTAACAGTAATTTGCAATATATTGAAATTAATGGAATTAATTATCATAAGATTATAAAATATTAAGGATTTCTTTATCTTAATTTAAACAATTAAATAATTCAATTATACAATTTAAATCAATAATTTGTTACAAATGAGTTGATAGGAATAATAAATTCAATTAATTTTTGTTGAATTAAATATTGATGAAATTGGTTGAATATTATCTAATAAGTAATTGTTATTTATTTTGACTTTAAGTTATGAATGATAAAACCTATTTATATTCATATATTTAATAAATTAATGGCATAAAAGAGATAACTGAAATAACCAGACCCTGGTCAAGTAGTAAATAAGGACATAGTGTTTAGTGAAAACATTAGAAATGAGATGAAATTCTTTGATAAGAATAGAACCGAACATTTTCAATTAAATCCAAATAGAGGTATTTATTATTTATTATCCATTTCAGTTGTCATTTTAGCTGAAAAACCTAATCATATAAGTATATATCATAATGAAATAACAAGAACCTTAATCACATTAATCATCTAGAAAGGACAAAGATAATGATATCTTTGGAAATCCATATACAGATGATCCTGTTGAAGAAGCATTTTCAAATTAGAAATTAGAAAAGACTTTAGAATTAAGAAATTAAATTCCAAGATAAAAATACAATTTCCCAATGACATAAAATTAAGAAATTGGTTGGTTTGCCAACTAATTAGTAATATTTTCCATAATATTTTTTTAGAATGTCTATAAACCAACTAAGAATTTTGCAAATTAACAATGTGAAATCACTAAATTTGTGGATAACTATTTTGAAATGACTCATGAAAATCCATTCAAAAAGAAAAGATCTTGATCAAATATATTAATTTATGACAATATCTATAATCACTTACGTCTACTGATATAATCTCTATATTTTTTCAAAGCTTTTCTAATATCAATAGTTTTTGTCTTAGCTAATCTAATTATTAAATCCTTCAATTCAAATAATTCTCTATCTTCCTCTTAATCAATCCATGTTGACACCAATAATCCATTTTCTTATTATTTTTCATAATTTGTTGGAGTATTATCAACTATTATTGTTCTTTCCAAAGGTCTCCCTACTTTACTTATATCCTATTGTAATCATTACTCTATTACTTTAATGAAGTTATTCCCATTAAATGTTGTGTGATGTCTATATAATTTATGATCTATATATTCATTACATTATAATTCAGTTATTACATGATCTGCATACTTTAGATATATATTATATATATACACTTTATAAACCTGCTGTAAAAATTATTATTTCACAGTGTTCTTTAATTCCTTATAGTAATTCAATGAGTCCTGGTCTAGGAATGAATTTATCAAACTTATCATTCTAAATTTATTATTTTATCTTATACATAATGACCCATGGTTTCATCTAAATCCAATAATACACATAAAGAGTGTTTGAAAGGTGTTTAAATAAATGGAACTTAAACAGATTCTAAATTATTAAATGATTCTCTTAAATGCATCATGTATTATTATTGATGAGATATTTTGAATAAGGATTTTAATGGTGATTAATATTATTCTATCTATTAATCAATACTAGTAGATAAATAAATTGCATTAACTAATTATTATCTACTAGTTTAAATATCTAATAATTTAATTTAACTTAATTAATATCTACATGTAATAATAACAGGTTAAATATTAGGATTATCATTTTTTAGTAAATTTTCTATTATTTTTTTAATGAAACTATTATTTTTAGTTAATTCCTAAATAAAATTAATGCAATGATTATTATTACACAATATTAAATCAATTTTACTTTATAATTATATAACTAATGTATTTTATTATTTTGTTTATGTTAATATTTTCTTTAAAAAATGACAGAAATTTTCAAATAAAAGTTTTGTTAAAATTATCATTTCTTATTGATATTCTTATGAATTATTATTAAGTAAATTTTCTTTCATTTAACATTAAATAAATGAAATTACTATGTCACTTAATAATATTGATTCTTAAATTATCTTTTATGTTAAAGGTTTGATAAAATAATATATATATTATTCCCATTTAAACATATAAACGGATTCCCAATAAGATTAGAAATTTGGAGGATCCTCTTTAATTTAAATAGATTCCATAATCTATTTTAAATTCTAAAATAAAAGTTATCCAGAATTTAAGTCAAAATTTTAAGTACTTTAAATTAATGTATCATATTAACTACCAGTTCTAGAGAAATTAAAAGTAAAAGTAGGTTTAATACGTTCTGATTATTTAGATTTACTTTTTTTATTTAAATCACATTCTTATTCTATTGTTCTTAATGTTCTTTTAGCATCTAATATAGGAGTTTCCAGTTATTTCTTTTAGTTTTATAATTGTTTTATTATATGGTAATTGTTTCCATACTTTAATTCAAAATATTCTATATAAGATTAGTTAGTTTACTAGCAATTTCATCTGAACTCTTTTCAAAATGGGCAAGAACAGGAAGAGTTTATTTCATATATTTTAACAATATAATTTATATTAATTCATGAGTTCATCAAATTATTGATTTTTTGTCTTACTAAATAGTACTCTTTATCTAATTCTGTAATTAATTTATTTGTCACTTTAAATTTCAAAGCTCTATATTTTAGAGTCTTCAAAGATGCTATTTCCTATAAATAATTAATTTATAATACATCAGTATTCTAAGTAAAAAATTCTGCTTTAGTTAAATTATTTAAGAATTACAATAAATTATCAAATTTCATAGATAAAATTTTTTCTTCATAAGTTTCAAAGATTCCCAATAATATTTAATAATATCCACACCATCCTCTACTTAATAATAAATCCCAAATATCAAAGAGTACTGTTGAAAATTCATTCTTCATAAAAGATCCAGTAAATAATGTAATAAACCAAGGAGCAGAATAATGACCTGCTTCAATTTTCTCTTCTTTAAGATGCAAATGGATTTTAGGCATGAATATAGCTAATAAACGATCTAATTTATAAAAGAATACTCTTATGTATTTTAAATCATATAGAAGTACATCTTTTAATAATTAATTAATTAGGGCAGAGAAACAACGGAATGTTAATTCTTCATCTACCATTATCATGAATATAAATCCCATAACAAAATTCATTCCTTAAGTATATGAGACAGTATTATTATAATATGCATATAATTTAAGTAAATTATGTAAAGTAAGATGATTAATTTTACTTTATAATCCAACACTATTGAATGATCTTTATACATCTTAAGCAATTTATTATTCTAAAAATGCTTCTTTTGATCCTGCTGATTTTGAATATTTCTCTTTTAATTTATAATAATCAAGTTAAACTGAATCTGGTTAAAGTAAACTAGTCCATAATAATTTTCTTTTAATTGATAATCTTTCACTAAGATTATTAAAACATAAATATTATTATTTAACTTTAGTATTTAGAGTAGCAAATTCTTTATTAACTAAAGTTATATTTAATTAATCTTATAAAGGTAAATATTTAAGACATTTTTTAAAGATATAAAATAATCTTTTCTTTTCTAAAATCATTTATTATGTTTTTGGTGATTATGGTTATATTTATTCCATATAAATTTTAATTGATTCAAATTATTCCAATAATAATACAATATCTTAAACTTTAATATTACACATTTTGGCTAAAATAATAATAGTTTCACTTGCATAATCTATTTTTATATCAAGTTTTAACATCATTGAACAGATTTTTTATAAATTTAAGAGTACTTTTAAATAATTAAGTTTTTATTCTTAAGTCATTTATTCCTTTATTATTCTTTTTTTTTAATATAAAAAATTTAAGATTTCATTTTTCTTTGGTTTATTTTTTTTCTTATTATTTTATTATTTATTTGAATTATTTTCAAGATTTTCTTTTTCATTTAAATACAATAATAATTATTACCAATTATTTTTAACATAAAATAATTATGTTTTTTCACTTGCTTATGATCCTACAGTTATAAATTGATTTTTTTCTCTCATTCCAAATTAAGTAATGAAATTTAATAAAGCATTGAATTCCACAACATTAAAAGCTTGATCTTTTTATAAGTCTATATACAATAATAAATATTAATAATTTTACTGATAATTAAGTTTCTGGCAATCAAAACTAAGAGATCATTTGCTTATTGATTTATTGTTATTGTATCTGTAGGTGCTTTATCAATAATTTCAACAATATTATCTAATAATTTAATTCTAGTATCTGCATGTTAAAATAAGGTTTCATAATCATATTAAACAATAGTAATTGAATATGTATTATTACATATTGATTATATAACATCTGTCAATTAATTAATTTATTAGACAAGTTATTATGATAATTTAAATTTCTATAAATTAGCAGGATCAAATTTATCATGTGAATCCATATTAGCTTTCCAATCCTCATAAGTAATAAAATTATCTTATTTAGTTACTTTAAATATATTAAACTTTCTATTTTTCATAATAGTCTTCAAAATGGGTAATTTTTCTATTTGATATTTATTTTAAATCAAATGTAATTTTTCATTAGATTATTGTAATTATTACAATAATCTCATATTCAATGTATTAGTAATTTTAGAAATATGTTGTAATATTTTTTCTGAAGTATTTTCTGTTATAGAAGTTCTTCCTAATTCATTTGAATCATATTCATCAAATGATTTCTTAAATTTATCATTAAATACATCCCATAATTAATTTACATTTGCCAATTCTTAACGATAATCAACAAATAATTCATCTGCTTTTAATTTTAATGTTTTTGATTTTTTCTTCTTCTCTAAATCATAAGCTGTTTTTAAATAATCATGTTGTTTCAAAAACAAACCTTCTCTTTGTTTTTCAACTTATTTTAAGAATTCTTAACCCTTTATGATTAATTCACTATTGATTTAATTGTAATTTTATGTAAATTCTTCATAAGGTTCCAAAATGCCTTATTTCATTTCACTAGTCAACTCATCCAAATTGTGAGCAAAATTTATTATGGCGTTGGATAATTAATTATAATAGAAGAGATTTAATTCATTTTCTTCTTATGTTTATGCTAACTCTAAATAAAATTATTCTGAATATTCAGTTAATTACATTGAAAGAGTACAAAATGATTAATGAATGTTTCTTATGAATCCCTTATAGATACCAACCTTATTAATTATTACATTATATACCAATTTATTACTATTGTTTACTTTATTATTCAAGTCATTTAAATAAGAATAACTTTCCTAAATGATTTTTTCTTACATTATTATTATATATATATATATATTTAAATATTTATTTTAATATCATATTCCAAATATCAATTTCTCCATCAATTATCTTCCAAATCTACAATAACCATTATCCAAATATTTATATAATTTATTCATATCAAAATTCAATTATGATAATCTTAAAATCTTCCCTTTTAAAGATACCTGAATCTACCCATAAAATGATTTATCATTAATTTTCATATCATCAATAATCTATACATTTTATTTACTAATTCTTAACTATCTTTAATTGATTTATTAAGCTTATCTTTTATCAATTTCTTTTCTTAATTCTTTTGTTAATTCAACCCATGTATATGTTTCTGGACATAATAATTCACATGGTTCAAAATCCCCTTTGTATGACATCTTATTAGTATTTTATAAGTAAAATCCCAAATAATAATACTTAAAATCAGGAAAATATTGATTCATTAATTGAACATATTCTATTTCAACTAAAGCTCCAAATGTTCCAAAATTGAATTCTTCAAATATTGGATCATAAAAAAAATAAACTGAACTTAAAGCTGTCTCAGTAATATCTACTACTCCAACAGCAACCAAAATATCTCCTAAATAATATCTCATATGAAAACATCCCATAAATAAGAGTTTACTTGAATCAATTTTTGATTATATAAATTTCTTTTAATCTAATCCCTATTCACATAAAAATGAAGAATATCCATCTTTACTTTCTTTTGCACTACCATGAATTTCTTTACAATATCTTTTATATAATTAAAAGTTTTCTTCTGTACATTCTGCAGGTTTCAACAAAACCTTCATGTTTCCTATTTAAAATTAATTTGATTTAAATGTAAGTGCATCTATTATTTTTATATTTTCTATATTATAAGTATATAAATATACATACATTTTTATTAATTCAAAACATTTTATTCGTTAATGACCTTTTATTTTTCTTAAACAATCAATTTTTCAATTTAATTTAAATGTAAATTAGCCTTTTATTCATTTTCTTTTGTAAATATTGATAAAAATCCATTTGGTTCTTATATAAATAAGAATTAATTGCTAATAAAATTCTTTTAAACAAAAGGAATAAGTTGTAAAGCAAATTTATTAACAGGAAAATCTTAGAATAATAATTTTTTATTAAGACCATAAATGAGCATCATAAAATTACTATAATAATCTCCTTTATTATTAACTTAAGATGGAAATATTTAAATTGTATCAATATTTACATTAATTTAGAATATTTATTAAACTTCTTCTAATTTAAATCCTTTTTAGTCAAAATATTCTTTAAACAATTAAATTACTTCTTATATATTTTAAGTAATGATTTCTTAGAATTATTTAAAATGTAATCTCAATGATTATATTATTTCTTCTGATATTTTTTAAGGTTTCTATTTTACTTCTATTATTTTTTATTTAGGTTCAATCTTTTATTGTAATTATTATGGCTATTTGTTTAATTGTTTTGATTCTTATTTTTGCTTTAGATTTTTACTTATTTATTGTATTACTTGTTTCAAATCTTCTACTTTATTTATAAGTAAATCAGATTAAACAACTTTTAAAAATGTTTTGGCAATCTTTCTTTATCCTTTTTTCTATTATGATAAAAGAGCATTGGCTCTAATTGTGTAAGACAGACAACAATTTAATGTGAAATTATATTTGTAATAATATGTACCACATCGTCGCCATCCTCTATCCATCATGGATTGATATGTGGAAGGATACAATTTATCTTAATTGAATAGATTGATAGTATATTACTTGTAGAGAATCCTAAGGAATAAGATTTTCCTTTATGACAATAAGAACAAGTGGAGGAATGATCTCCTTCAAAATAGCCTAGATTGATATTATCAATATTCATATTAATTATTTGACTAATAAAAATTAAATCAAACAGCTTGGCTTGGATCTTCCTTAGCTGAATACAAATGTGGATGAATGTTTGGTAAGACACCTCCATCAGCAATAGTAGTATTGACCATCAATTTGTTCAATTCATCATCATTTCTGATGGCTAAGAGAATGTGTCTTGGATTAATTCTATTCTTCTTGTTATCTTTAGCAGCATTTCCAGCAAGTTCTAAAACTTCAGCAGCCAAATATTCAAGAACAGCTGATAAATATACTGGAGCACCAGCACCAACTCTTTCTGTATATCTTCCTTATTTCAAATATCTTGACACTCTTCCAACTGGGAATTATAAACCAGCTTTGTGTGATCTGGAAACTGATTTGTGTGCTCCAGCTGCCTTTCCTCCTTTTCCTGCTTTTCCTTTTCCTCCTGATGACATTTTGTGTTTAATTAAATAATCAGAATAGATAATTCAGTTCAATTTTAAACAGTCTTAAAATTCCTTTATTTAATTAATCAACCAATCAAATTCAAGATCTCAATACTCTACTTAAAGAATTAATACCCAATCACATGTCAAGAATCATTTTCTACACCAGATTCCTCAACTATATTCTTAGGGGAGTACTTTTGGTTTTCATCTTAACTTTTTTAAGATACATTATAAGATATCTTAAGATATGATAAAAAATCAAATTCATAAATTTAATAATATTCATTTATTACTTTTAATTTATTCTAATTTCATCTTCATAGAAGCTATTTCTAAATCTGCTAACTATTCTTATAAACTCTCTAAATTAATATCATCACTTTTAAAACTCTCCCTCTTTGATTCTAATAACATTCTATCAGGTCTATCTAATGTAATTCCTTCTAAATGATCCATCTCATGTTAAATTATTCGTGCTTCAAAACCACTAATATAATACAATATAATTATACCTAAGAGAATGTTTAATTAATTTAAACTGTTCATTAATGAATTGATATTCAATTTTATATGGTCTCTCCACTTTCCCCATTAAATATGGAAATGAAGGACATTCTTCCCATTCTACTTAAGTGAATTTACTTTCTTTTAATTTCTAAGGATTTATGAAAGTCACATAATCAGAAGCTTATACATCTTTGTAACACCATTAATTTCTTTTTATAGTTCTTAATACAACAAATATTGAATAATTGAATCCTATCTATGGACAAGATAAACTTATAGCATTTTCTTTAGCAGCTGTCATTTTTAGAGATTAGATTATTGATTTCATTCTCTAAGACATCATTTAAATTTATTATGCTCTTTAAGATAATTTCTAATAGTCCTTATCTCCAATTTTCAATATTTTATAAACCTGTGCTGTAGGATTTTATTATTATATTAATTTATCTGCAAATTTCATAACACTAAAATATTATATAAAGTATTAATAATTATAAATAATATATATATAATTTGAATAATATATTACTAATCATAGTCTTTTGAAAAATAATCTAATATCTCTTTCAAAAAGTTTTTCTTATTTCCATATTAATGCCCTTCTTTCCTAATTTTAAACTAAAAAATATCCCTAAAAATCATAATTATTAGCTTAAAACTTTTAAGCAAATGGTAAACAAAATACTACAACACCTTTTGACATATCATATACTAATATGTATTCATTAGATAACAGTATCAATGTTTTTTAATCTTTTTTTAATGACAATTTAATGTTTCCTTGTTTTGTAGTATTTCTTAATTTTATTATTCTTAATCTTTTATTACATTAAAAATTATATGTTACTATTTCATTTTTTATATCAAATTAATTATTTTCCTATTATTGTAATACTGAGTACATTATCTTATTAGATTTACAAAAATATGATGCAGCTAAAGTTTTTTCTTATTAAATCTAACTAGATTTCTAGAATTTATAATTTTTTAAATTCATTGTAACTACTTTATTACATAATTCAATAATTAACAGTTCTTTATAAAAATGAAACTAAGCGAATAGTATTTAATTAGCTCTTTAAAAAATTTATAACTTTTTAGTTAGATAATACACTTCCTTTTTTTAAGCATTTACAGCAAATAGTTTATAGGTTTGATCAATAAATACTATATTATTATCCTCAATAATAGAGTCAATTATATCACAATTGTGTTTATAATGAAAATTAATTAGAAATTTAATTGCGTATTCTTCTTTTTTTTATGTTTATACAAATATATCCATTATCCTTATTGTATTTTTGTATTGAAATAATAATAGATTTGAATATATGGTTGATTTCATCACAAAATCTTTAAGACTAATGTATTATTTTTTAAAGGAATCTACATACTCTAAACTTGGATATAAATATATAGAAACTACTAATTATTTACTAACTAGAAGTGAATTTTCTAATAGAAATACAAAGTCTTTTGAAACTTCAATTTAAACAATTTCACAATCATCTTAACTTTTAAGTTTCACATCAGCTTTGAGAAAGATATTATAAAAGTGTCTGGAAGCTAAAGAAAACAATTGATTACTTTATTACTTTACAAAAATCAAAAATTTCTATTGTTCATATTATTTGTCAATTACATTATTTTAGATCATTTAAGAATTCCATATTGTTAATATAAAAGATTCAATTTTGCTGTGATTTAAATCATTAATACAATTTGATAATAATAATAACTTATCCTAAAATTCTTTGTGTTGAATTTCATTATCCTATTTTTTAGTGAGAAAAGTGTTATTTGTTAAATACCCCAAATAATGTAATTCAAATTGCTTGAACCATGATATTGCATAAGAGTATGTGGAATGTACATTAATCCTTTGATTTGATTCATTTTTACTACATTTCTCACATAATAGATGAAGTTAATCTATAGCAGGATCAGTTATAGGAAGGAAATATAAATTTTCTAACTTTTCTAATCTATTTCCAAAATGATTAAGTCCTTTGCATTTTAGTTATTAAGATTGATACCAATTATGAAATCCAAAATCAAACATAAGTTGTTGTTTATTTATTTTATTAATAAATAAGTTCTAGTAATTTATTAATTAGTTTAAGCAATTCAAATATTTTAATAAATCAATAAAGTATTTAAATTAGGGAATAATAGTAAAATAATGAAAATAACAAATCTAGTGTATGTGTAATATATTCTTAATATAAAATAAATTAGATTAGTAGAATATATTGATATAAATGATTAAGAACTCATAATAAAATGTAAATAAATATCTAATTTCTTTTTAAATAAACAAAAAAATAATCATTCTAAAATAGCCTACCATTATAATATATAAAATTTATAAATAATGTTTAATAAATTAAAGAATTCATTTCCATTTAGATCTGGACCAAATTTCCTTTTATGTTTTCTAGGATTTTCTGGTGTGGGTTATTTTGGTACAAGCTATTTGCATAAACAGAAATATGATCATCCAATAGTTTAAGAAGCATTAAGAATATTGTAACATAATGATTAAATAATTCAATTGGCTGGATATCCATTATCACTTTAGATAAATATGGGTAGTAATGCAACTCAAAATGATGATGTGTGTTAATTTTCATTTTAAGTTGTTGGTCCTAAAGGTGCTGCAAAAGTGGAATTAATGGGATAATCAAGAGAATTATAGGAGATATAAAATAAGTCCTAATATTATATTCCATCTTCAAAACAAATGATAGATGTGATGAAATATAATAAAGATATTGAAGCATTATAAAATTGGAAATTGACTCCTGATGTAAAATTATGGAAGATTGATCATTTGGTTGCTGATATTGGATTGTAAGGAGATTTTAGAATAGTATTGGTTGATTCAAATTAAGTGTTGAAAAAGGATGTAGCTTAAGTAATGAGTCCACCTTTGGTTAGTGATCGTAAAACACTTTATGATCTAAAGTTAGAAATAGATGCTCGTAAACCTAAAACACCTACTACTGAATAAGAAATAGAAGAAGCAAGAAGATATAGATAATAAGAATTATATAGAAAAGTAGGTGGTGTTAGAAATATTACAATAATTAGTACAATAATTGGAGCTATGGCTATTTATAATTATGTAAAAGCAAATAGAGTATGATTTATTTAATAATTTAGAGAATAAGTGTATTGAATACTTAAATTCATAGATAATCATTAATTATCATATAGAGTAATCCTTAAATAAAGAAAATATTTGGTTAGAATATTTAATTCAATTAATAATTGAGAGGTGGATAAATAAGAGATTAGGCTGAATTTGAAACTGATATGTATGGATAAAAGGCAGGTGTTTGTTATGTAAAAGGATAGAAGAACAAAAAAACTAATGATTGGGAAATTGAATCAATTGATGTTGCTATTAAAGATGCTTAAGGTATTATCAATCAAAAAATTAGAATACTGGGGTGATTGTGTATTTCATATTATAATAAAATAAATAATTAATATCATTATTAAAATTAAAATTTGTGATGAAAATCAATTGGCTCATGAATTAACTTATATTTTATATAAGCTATATTGATTCAATTTGCATCACCACTCTGATATTATATATAATTACATTATATGATGATATTTGTATAAATCACTCCACTATGAGATTTTATTGATTATGCAATTATACCCTGAAATATGTTATTATACTTATATAATTATTTATTAACAATCATATAATTATTATTGATTGACTTAAACACTTAATATTTGATATTTTTTATACTACAACCCTTTATTATTAACTAATTTTTAATACAATATTATATATTATCTGATTAAAGAACCGAAAAGAAGTTAATTTTGATATTAATTTATAAAAGGATTTCCATACTTTTTGAATGAAGAATAGGAAAGACAATTAAGAAATAGATCAATTATTAGAACTCTAATTACAATGTATTTATTAAGACTAAGAAATAATACTATTTATAAATAAAAAAATATTAAAGAAAATTAATTAAAAAGGGAAGCCTCTAAATGTAATAGTGATTTGGTTGAATGAATTCTGAACTAATAAAATTTAATAATTGTTGCAATCACTCTTTCTGAATCTATAAAATATGTACATCTATTAACAATGAGAAAAAATAAATCCATTTGATAAAATGTATCAGCTTAAATTAAGAAATGATAATAATGAATTTATAGTTATACAATTATGTCTAAGGATTTATTGATATAAAGGAAATATCTTAAATCTTAAGGATCTATTAATTCAAATTATAAGAATTAGATAAGGCCAATAAATTAATCAATAATTTCTAAAGAAATTAATAAATGCAATGAAGTTTATATATATTCTTAATAAAAAGAAAAGTCGATATAAATATAAATGAAGAGATAAGGAGTAAAATAATATATAAAAAGAAAGTAAATTGTATCAAAATCTTAGTTATAATTAATTAAATTAATGCATTAAAAAAAGATTCAAAAGGTTTGCAAAAAATAGATAATAAATTAAAATTTAAGAAATGATATATATGTAGATCTAATAATATTATACAATACCTAACTTTTTTTTTTTGATCTTAAATAATAGTAAACATAAATTATATTAATACTATTTATATTGCAATATGGGGATTTGTGGAGGTAGGTCTAAAAGTTAGGAAGACTAAGTTCACAAACTGAACTAACCTATCATAACTAATGGTGAGTTACAAATTAAGGTGTTGTTAAAGAACATCACTTTGAAAATGACTGGTGTGAGACAATGTTCTATTCAATTCGATTTGGGGTAGTGTAAGTACACATCGCCGGTGCATATAGATAATAATGGAGATCATTATGTATTAAATTCATAGAAGGAAGTGGCGAGCTAGTTTTGATGGAATCTTAAAGATGACTGAGTAGTAGATGCGAGAATCCAATATGAAAATTTCAGTGATGGATACTTAAGTGATTGGATCAGCGACAATCAATTTATTTGAAGCAGCAGTAGGTCCATTTCATTTTCAATTACCAATTAGAGGACAAAATATGGGGAGTGTTAGTTTTGATTTGAAAATGAATTAGATTGTATAAGCAACTCTTTAAAGTAAATATATAATTTGGGAATTAAACTAAAGTTTAAGTGATGTTAGATATAATTACAATTTGCGTTTAGTGGTATGAATATAAACTAAAATAAAAAAGACTTCATAGTTCTCATTCATTTCTGAACATTCAACTACTTTTGTGAATCCAAATTATAGAAAATAAAATGAAAAGTAAAAGACTATAATGTCTTCAAGTCGTAAAAGCATTTTAGATTAAGATGCATAGCGAGATTGTTTGATATCCTTACAAAAAATACCATCTATAATAAATAATAGTGCAGGCATTAATCATTCTCTCGATTCAATTATAACAGCTACACCAACAAATAAAGGATAACCATCTGCCTCATAACCTTATCATAGAATAGAATGGGATCATGCTGAAGATGAACTAACTTTGATAGTAGAATTACCAATTTCTGAATTTTAAGGTTCTGCTATTCAATTATGTTTATGGTCAATTTCATCAAATAAAAATAGTCTAGGTAATAGTAAGTCTCCTCATAAAACTACTATAAAAAAGACTTAAAATAAACATGACTCTGAATATATGGATTTAGAAATATAAGATCATCATCTTGTTGCAGAAACATATATTAATTTATAACATTTAGAAAATAATATAGTAGCTGATTTGGGAGCTAAATTTTTTGTTATAAATAGTTAATAAGCAAAATCAATTTGGTATCATGGTGTAGAAGTAGGTAAAATAGATTATGAAATAAATGTAAAATTACCAAATTATTTATAATAATCATCATTTGGAGTTTAAACAGAAAAGGGGATAGTTTCAACATTATCAGTAGTAGACAATGTTGAAAATATTAGTGTTACAGAAATAAAAATGATTTAAATTGAATTTTAGAAATTATCAAGTTGTATTTTTAAAATTGAGCATAAAACATTAAATACAGATGATAAATTAAAGATTCGTTAAGATATGGATTAATAATTGAATAAATTGGCACAATTACTTGGATAATCACATGGATCCAATATTAAAACATTTTAATATAAATCTGAGGATGATTTAATGAAAGCATAACATTTATTAATTTAATTGTCAATTCATTTAGTAGATTATTCAAAAACTTTGGCATCATTTAATTCTTATTTTGAATGTTTAAATCAAGTATTAAGTAGAGGAGAATTGATGTTATAATAATTAGGTTTTTTTAAAGCTTTAAGTAAGAAATAATCAGAATTCAAAACAGAAGTTGGTTTAGATTATTAATCTTTTTTAGTAAATACACTTAGATTTACTTTATAAAAATTAAATTAAAAAGATCCAAGTCAATAAGCAAGATAATTATACATAAAATTTTTAGTAATAAGTTATTTTAGAATACCAGAATTTAGAGCAAAATTTCTTGAATTAATTACAAAAGTAGATGATCCTTAGTTATTAGAATTAAGAGGAACTGAATTTATATAAGAAGATGATCCAACAAATATTGATAAAAGTACAAAAACCAATATATAAATTTTTGATTGGTAAAATTATTTTCATACTTATTTATCTGATAAAAGCAAAGGAATATAAAATTAATCAGTTTTGAATTAAATATTAGATGATGAAAGTTGGAAAGAGCATATAAGACACAGATCTATAAATTTTTGTTTTTTTGTAGAAGAATGGGCAAAATATGTTAGAAATATATTATAAGTAAAAATATTACCTTGGTAAGATATTCCAGGTTATAGAATATTGGTTAAATCATTTATGTGTGAATTAAAATAATAAGAATCAGTTCCAGATGCTATGAAGATGGCTTTGAAGAGTTTGCTTTAAAATTAGAATTTATTAGGAATTGTAGTGAGTTTGTTATTCAATAAAACAAAGTAATTTATGTAATTAATAAGTTTATATAACTCAGAATAAGTCATAGAAACATTTGAAATATTAGATATCTGTTTTAGTACATTAACAACTATGCCTGCTTAATTCGATTATCCATTTTTCTTGAAAGGTATCAAATAAATTATAATGGATTCAGAACATGCAATAAATATAGCCAAATGTGTTTGGCTTATATATAATATATATCCTTTATTTCCAAGTAATAATATTAATAATTTAATAGTTGATTTTAAGAAAGATATATGTGAATTTTTATTTGAAAAAGCAGTATTTAAATTATTTTTACATTGGAGTAAAACTGTTAGATTAGTATTTCATTACTTTTTAATTTATCGAGTGTCTCATTAACATAAGAATTTAAAAATAGGAGGATTGGATGAAGAGTAAACAATGTTTGATAATAGTTAGATAAATTATACAATAATATACCTTGATTAATAGACCAAAGAAGAATTAGAGTTATTTTGAGAATCGTTAACCTTAATAATAATTAATTGTAAGATATATAAAATAATGATTTAGTCTGATTACATATATATCAAATATTTAAGATTTCTTAGTAAATTAGAATAAGCAAAAGCTAATGAAAATTAGAGAGAATATTAATAAGATCATTAAACTTATTATTAAAAAATGGTGCATAAAAAATTAAGAAAAGAATAGGATTTGAAAAGATAACAATAAGATGAACCTAAAATGATGGAATAATTGAAATTAGAGAGAATGATATCTGAATAAGATGAATCATAATAAAAATAAAATCAATTGAAACCAGTTATTGTTCCTAGACCAGTAATGTATAAAAAGTTGAGTTGTAAGAATAATTAATAATTATATAGATAAACATGAAGTTGAAATTAATGAAATGTAATAACAATATTTAAAATTATCCATTCGAGAATTTGAAGAATAAGTAAAGAATTATAACAATTGGAGATAATAAAATTTAAAGAAAATGATTGGTAAATATAATGAGGAAGGTAATATAAATATTAATATCATAAGATAAACATACTATTCATCTGACTTTTGAAGTACCCAAAGTTGATGTTCTAAGAAGAATAGATGAAAAAGAGGGTGCTTGAATAAATTATTATATAGATTATTATTATTAAATCAAAAACCGAAGGTTTCTGCATCTGCATATTGCAAGTAAAGGAATCCATCATCTGGATCTTTGTATTAATCGTAAATATTTCTGAGTTTATCATCTATTTATTGATTATTAAAATGTACGTTCATTCATTAAGCTTTTTCCGCAATACATAAATAGAGTTGAAGTTTTCTCATCTAAGTTCAATTTCTTTTTGATTGTATTTTTAAATTCATTAAATGAGAAACTAGAATTGACCAAAAATCTACATTCAATCATTTAAATAAAGTTACTTCACTTTTTACAATTAAGGTAATTTACAACCTGGAATCTTTTCTACAATAATGGGAATCATTTCAGGATATTTTGCTAATTATTCCTATACTCTTTTCTTTCTCTCTTCTAAAGTATGAGAATCCTTATAAGTTTGAGTCTTCTACTTTTACATAATTATTTATTTCTATAATTAATAATGATAGTATTAATCAGGTTTTTGTAGTATATAATCTATTCATACAAATTAGATTTATAAATAATAATCATTTAAAAAACCATGATGGCAATGTGTTCAAAGAAGGCCTATCTTAAAAGAAGGTCAATTGATAACAAATGTAAATTTTTAATATTATTTTTTAGATGATGTCGATACAAATATATTTTAAGTTAAGTTCGATTGTTTGAAAGACAACATAGTCAAAATACATTAAGGTGATCCTGTGATGTGTTAACAATGTGAAACTGTTCTAAATAAACATTCAAAAATATAAGATGATGTTTAAAATCAATAATTTGGAAAACAACTTTGGATATGTGAATTCTGCAATCATAAGAATTACATATAAATAGAAAAAGAAGAAATACCTGTTAATGAAGATACCATTTATTTAATTTAATCAGCTTAAGAATAATAAATGTAAATAGAGGAAGGTGAAAACTCAATTGTATTTTGTATTGACAATAGTGGTTCTATGTCTAGTACTGTTGAAATTAAAGGAAAGATTAATTTTAAACATGGAATATCTCCTGAAGAATATGAAATGCTTAAATAATTCATTGAACCTGGAGATGAACATTAAATATGGCCACAATTTAATACTAAACATGTTACTCATGTTTCAAGAAAATAATGTGTTATGGCAGCTATTGAATAATAAATAGGAGAACTTAAGAAAAAGAATCCTAATAAAATAGTTGGATTAGTTACATTTAATAATGAAGTAGTTGTTTATGGTGATGGTTCTGAAGTCCCTATTACAATTGCTGGAGATAGACTCTTTAAATAAGATGAAATTGAAAATCTATTAAATGGAACTGCTAAATAATTAATGAAATATCCAGTTAAAACTCAAGCTGATACTCTCTTGAAAAAATTTGAGAAACTTTAAGAAAAAGGATAAACTGCTTTAGGTCCTGCATTGATTTCAGCTTTGCAATTAGCTAAAATTGGAAAACCTGGATCTATGATTATCATATGTACAGATGGATTAGCTAATTTGGGATTGGGATCTTTAGATAATGATGCAAATAAATAATTTTATGAGGATTTGGGATCATTTGCTTCATAATGTGGAGTAGTGATTTCAGTTGTTACTATTAAAGGAGAAGGATGTAAAGTTGATATTCTAGGAGCCTTATCAGAAAAAACTAATGGAACTGTAACTAGAGTCAAACCTGAAGATATTGAAAAAGATTTTGCAAATATATTAAAAGATGAATTAGTAGGAACTTAAGTTTAATTATTTGTTAATTTACATCGTGCTTTAAAATTTAGAGGAGAAGATGATCCAAATTTGAGTAATAAACTTAAAAGAGATATTGGTAATGCAACTATTGCTACTACATAAACATTTGAATATTAATTAAAAAATGATTAGGAATTATAAAAAGAATAGATTGACATAAAGGATTTAAAGACTGTTCCATTTTAAATTAAAGTTAATTATACAAATTTACATGGAGATAGACTTATGAGAGTAGTCACTTAATTAGTATTGGCAACAGAAAATGTTAGGGAAGCTGAAGAAGAAGCTGAAGTAGAAGTTATTCATAAAAGAATGGCATAAAAGACTGCTTAAATAGCAAAGAAAGGAAATTATTCAGAAGCATAATCATATAATGATTAATGGGATGGATATGTTTAAAAAAATGCTGTTATCAATAATAATGTAGTTAATTAAATGAAAAATGCTAATTTCTAAACACATAATTTAAAATTATAAACAGCTGTATAGAAATAGGAAATAAGAAAAGAAAAATTATCATAACCTGTATAATAATAATAATAATAATAATAACCTAGTTTTCTAGATAAAGTAGCATAATTTATAAAAGGAGATGAAAAAAAATAATAACCACCCTTAAATCAAGTTCCTCAATAAAATTCAGTACCACCTGGACCTCGATAAGTGTCATTTTAAAAGAATCAAATACAACCACCACCACCCCCACCACCACAAAAAGCTTAAACCAATTAAATGAAAAAGAAAAAAGAATAGAATTTTGAATAAGAAAGATAATTAAGTTGTTCAGATGAAGATGAAGAGATGGCAGATCTATTTTAATTTGAATAAGGAAAATATTGAAATATTAAATTTTTATTTATTTAATATTTTAAATGATATTCATAAATTGATTTACCAACTTTATGTAAATGAAGAAACATTAATTTCCACTCTCAATATCTATTGATTTCTATAAATGATAATGTTCTTTATATTAATTTCTTCACTATTATCATTTTTAGCCTTAGTGTTAGTAAATAATAAAGAATCCTTAAATGTTTTGACAGATATTTCTCTTATACAAGTATATTCATCATTCCAACATCTCTATAATATAGTCTCTTCATTATCATAATCTCTAATAGACATATATGATCCACTGGCTTAACCAAACTAAATATTGATAAAATTATTATTATACTTCATTCAAAACAACAATCAAATCAATATCTGATGACATTTCTCTTAATCTCATTACTCCTGTTGCATTACTATGTTAAATTACAGATCCTGCTTCAAGTGCTAAAAATGCATTATCAGTAAAAGTTCTATTGATTGTATTCCAACCATTTGGAATTCTTTAACCATTTTCTAAAGATACCCAATTAGCACCTAAAGGAACATAGAATTATAATTCAGTATAATCAAGAGACGAATCAGTTTATTCATCAACAACTGGATTAACTATAATATTTCCAATTTGAAATTGAGTTTCAATATTAAAAGTTTGAGGATCACTTTAATATTTAAACCATAATGGATCTACAATAGTACCTGATCCTGCTTAAAGAGTTGAATCTCTTTATGATATGAATAAATAATAGTAATATTTTAAAAACTCATATCTTAGTTAAATACTATTTTGAGCAGATATCTTAGTAATTTCATAAAGATATGGCTCTTAGTCTTATGATCCTAAGGCATTATGATCTCTTGCAAATGGATAAAAAGCACCTAATTAAATCCATCTTGCACAAAGTTAAGGAGTAGTATCCTAATTAAATCCACAAATGTCATCACCAACAAATGGAATTCCAAAAAGATTGAAATTAAACATTTAATAAATTGATGAACGTAACCATGCCCAAGTAGATGCATTATCTCCAAACCAAATAGCTGAAAATCTACCACTTCCAAAAATTGATGATCTACTCAATTAAAAGATTAAAGTTTTATTTTAAATTTCTTATAATAATTTTCTTTATTCAATTTGTTCAAGAAAACCATTAAAATTATGGAAATCTAATTCTGGAATATATTTTGATGAAACATTAAAATAAACTCCTTATCCTTCATGTAATGCATCAATAGCAATTGTATGACCCTCTAATGTCATTGTTCCCATTGCATCCCAAGGTAAATCTTTCAATTCAAATATATCATCATTCAATTTTGGACCTTTAACTTTCTCACCATCTCTAAAATTTGCCAATTCATTCATATCAATCCATATACCACTTGGTGCAATTTAATAGTTTGTGAACCAATCTTTATGACATTTATACCATAACTCATATGCATTTGGATGATTAAAATCAGTAAAATAGACATCTCCAGGCCAAACCATACCAAGATATGGTGTTTAAGATTATCTATTACTTTTAATATAAGCTCCTGATTCTACTAAATCTCTTCCACAATCACTATCTACTGCAATACCAGGATCTACAATAGGAACCCAATGTACTCCATCTGGTTAAGTTCTATCAGTTATATTCTATATATCTTCTCTTGGATAAGCTTCTTCATTTAAAGTAAAATCTTTTCTATCTTACATATAATCTAAATCAGTCCATATAACTTCTAATGGAATATTTGATTCTTTATAATTTTAAATCACATCCTAAATTACAGAAGTATTTTAATATCCCCATCTACTTTGATGCCATCCAGATGACCAGAATGGATGTAATTCCCAACCATTTAAATATTAATGATATTATTTGATCAATTCTTTTGGATTCTTCTTACCTATAAATATTTTGAATTCAAGTTGTCCACCTGTAATTCTGTAGATGAGTTCATCATCTGTTCTTTCCATAGTCATAGGTCTGCTTGATCTTAGCAATACTATATGATATTATTAATTATATCTTTATAAGACAACTGGATGAGTACCATAAAGTGAAAATCCTACTTGAGTATCAAATTCCCAAAAGTCATGATTCCAAATTGAGAATTCTCCCTTAGGAATTCTAAATGAATTTAGACGTCTTTCTCCAAATCCGAAAATATCTTCTGATAATAATTCTGTATGTAATTCAGAGTACAACAAAGAGAGAACAGTAGCATTTGTGATAGTGAATACAGGGGACTAATATTTATTATGAGAAATACTCCATCATATCTAGAAACAGAGAAAAATGTTCCATCTTCATTCACTGAATAATCATATTCACCATGAGCACTATCAGATTTAGTATATGGAAATGGGAACTCATGAGGTATTTCAAATGTATCTAAAGGGTTTAGAATACGAAGTGTAAGTTGATTCTTTCCATCCTCAATCACTTCTACTGTGAAATTAGGGTAAATTGGACTTGTTTGATTCTTATAATAATCTCCTGGATTTATGTTTTCAAAATTCACAGTTAATTTGTCTAGTTAAAATTGATGATACTCAAATACTTCCATCATAATATCTGAATGTCTCAACAAATTGTGCATTATTCAAAAATACTAAAGTACAGAATATGATGATGCAAATTCTCATAAATTTATTATTTAATTAGATTAGATTTGTTTATTTTACGTCGTGATGGGATTATTAGTTATTTAAATTATCATATTAATATAAGAAATAACACTCATTTATCATAATCTATTAACAATATTCAATATTCAAGTATTTTATTTAAACTTGATTGTGTATTATCAATCTAACTAAGTTCTCTTATATTATAATTTTACTTTTTAATAGATTTAATTTATAAACTTAATATATTTCAAGATACATTCTAATGGTCCTAAAATATATAATAAAAATTATTGAAAGCTGTTAAAAATAGAATACAATAATTTTTATTTAAGAAATTAAGTTTTATAGCTATTATGAACAAAATTAAATGTTTAAGTAGTTTTATTTGATAATAGATAGAGGTTATAAGTGTTAATTAATAATTCTCTAATAATAAATAAAAAAATAACTACTATGCAAATTGAACCAAAATAAATAAAATTCTGAATAAACTTAAGTATATATATAATAAAATATACAGTTTTTTCGAATATTTGGTTATTACATGAAATTTGCATATTCAATGATGAGATAACTGGATTTCATTAATTAAATTATCAAATTGTTATTAATACTTAATTTTTATTTAATTTTAAGAAATGGCAGAGTATTCAGACTATTCTATGGAAATTTATTGAAGTTTATTGATTAGATTAAATTGATTAAAAATTGAATGAAAATTATTTAATCATCGTTTATGATGATAAATCAAAGTAAATAAAAAGATTTAAAATAAATTTTATAAAAACTATTTAAATATCCAAAATAATATAAGAACTCAGATACTATTCTAATATAAATTGATGTAAATAAGGTAAATGATTTTTCAATAATAATTACCTTTCGTCATTAATACTGATATTCAACTCTATAAATTGCAATTAAAATTAAAATAAAAAATCATTAATAATCATAAAAAAATAATAAAATGATAAACTTTGTGGATACTTATGAAGATTAAAAACTAGAATAGTTCGAGGAAGAACTTGAATTATTTGGGTTTTTGAGTTCTCCAAATACTCTAATTTTGTCTGATCAAGGTTTAAGCTCTTGTGTAGATTAAGGTAGATAATAATATAAAACTTTCTTTAGATTCGAATTTATCGACTCCATAACAATAAGAAATTCAATAAATAAAATTACCAATTCAAAGAAGACGTCCTCCAAAAAGAATTCAATATACTTATCATAAGAAAAAGAAGCGTCCTGCTCCAAAACCTATTATCCATATAAAAGAAAATGGATTGAAAGTTTGTCTTGTCATGGAGAAACCCAAATCCAATGCCCATCCTTTCTCTAATATTGAAGATAAGAGAATTTTAGAACTTGTTCTTAAGATAGGACCGAAGTTTTATAAAATATCAAAATCATTTCCAGGGAAGAGTGTTAGCATGGTCAAGAATCGTTACTACAAATACCTTCGTTATAGATGGGATGAAGTTATGGGAAGGTAATTTGATTTTAAGTATCATTTAGTGAGTATAGACACATGAATTCTCTTCCAGAAGATCAACTTTTTGAAAGTCAAAATGGATTCAGATCTAATGATATCAGTGATGAACTTGATTCCGAATGTTGAACACGTTCAAATAAATCAGTATAGTGACTATATTTTTTGTTTACATCGAGTTATATAATATATTTTACTTTTATTATAAATTATTCAGTTTTTTCATCCTAAAGGGTAATAAATGTTTTATTAGATTTATTTTAAATTTATTTAAATTTTTTAACATAATCAATCAGAATTCATTTTTATATAATAATATAATAATTTGTACTTAAAAATTGTATTAAAATAAAATATTATGTTCTCATCATCTTGATTTATATTATGATGTATTAAATTTTATTGAAAATATTAAAAATATATAATATTTCTCATTTTCTATTATTTTAATAATTAACTTAATTATGAATCAGATTATTGCAATATATTTGTAAGTAATTCATAGTTTAATAAAATTATAGAGATGAGAAGAAGTAGAATGAAAATTAATAATTTAGACAATCAATTAAAATTCTACTTTTTAATAAGCTTGAAAGAGTAGCTAAGACATATGCATAAGTGATGGCTATAGAGAGAGTTGAAACAAGAATACCATAATGTTAAGGATGGAATCAAATTTTGATATTTCGAGAATTTCAATAATAATAACGATATATAAATTAATTTTAATAAAAGTATGGAAATACTGACAAATAGGGTGAATTTAAAGAAGCATTATTAGAATATTAAAAATTTGATATTATTTTAAAGTAAATGGTATCAAAAGAAAATTAAATGTTTATTGAATCTATAAATAATGAAATTCCATAATTTAACAATTAAATAACATTCGATCTTTCAGAATTTTTGAATAAATACCATTTAAAATCATAATTAGATTTTCATAATTTATTAATAAAAGATCCAAAAGGATAAGAGTTATAATAATATATGAGAGATTATTCTCAAAGATTATCGGAATATTTATATTTTCTTTTTATTTAAGAATAAGATCCTAATTTAAAATTATTATTAAATTATATTTTAATTAATTAAACTCAAAATAATGAAAAGATCCTTGATATGTTAAATAAATATATTAAATCATTAATTAATGAAGAAAAATAAAATGTTATTCATTATTTAAATTTAATTATATCTGTTTTTTATGAATTGTCAGATTACTTTAACATTATTATAAAAGCTATAAATGATTAATATTAATTGGATGGTAAATTGTAATTGAATCAAAAATAATTTTAAATTATTTTATTAATTTTAGATGTTTCCGATGATAAAACCATAGATTAGTATTTGTATTTAAGTTAAACAAGTTGTAATATTTTAAGATATATATCATGGATTTATAAGGATGATTGTTCATAATAGTTTTTAATAAGTTAAGAAAAATATTTAACTAAGCTTTTGTAAAAAGATCTTGATTAGAGGATGATATATGATTTAAGTTAAGTTGTAGAAACTCTTTAATCAGTAAAATTAAGATTATTTATTGAGAGAATTATAGATTTTCATTAAAAAAAGGAGAAGGATATAGGTTTAGACTTTTTAGAATTTAAGATATTTTTGCCTCAAGATTAAGAAAAACTTAATAGACATATACAATCTTTTGCTCCTATAGAAAATCAATAATTTTTTCAAATACAATAATAATAATAATAATAATAATAATAATAATAATAATAATAATAATAATAATAATTAAAACCAATAAATAGATTAGCAACTTAGATAAAAGTTTCAAAATTTATTTATTCATTTTTAAATATCTTATCTTTTGCTGGGTATATAGATTAAAAAAAGATGGATTCTAATTAGTATATATAATAATTTATTTTAATTATAGAGAGTTTTCAGATATAATTTCAGTTGAAGTTGAAAATTTGGGTACTTAATTTGATCCTAATTTATTTGCTACAAGTTAGAAAATTAGATAATCTTTAATTTACTTTTTATAACTATAAAAATTAGAAATGAGTACATTTAAAGAATTATGGAATTTATCAGAATAACTCAGACTTTATTTGGAAAAGGCAGAATAATTCATTAAAATAAATACTCTAGGTAAATTATATTTCCCTAGTATGAATTAAATTCTTTCTACTTATAGATGTCAATCAGATGAGTCTTATGAATTTAAAATAAAAAAAAACGAAATACTTAAGTTTTTATTTAAGTCTATTATTGATATTTAATATAATGATTTTTATTAGATGATGAATTTAATAGAATAATATAGCAGCACAAATTAATAGAATTTTTTATAAAAAGTGAAGTAATATTATAAGAGGGACTTCTAAAAGCATTTAGTTGAATTAAAAGCATTAGGATCTGAAAAAGTCAAAACAGCAATAGAGAATATATTTTTAAACTTAAATGGATGAATATAGAATAATTGACTTTCATTTATATTTCTAAATTGGTTTATCTATTTATTCTAGATGTTTAATCTTTATTAAAAAGATTCACTCTTTAATGTCTATTAAATTCTATTCTTGTTGATTGAAGATACTTAAATATAAATATATTGATTAAATGATTAAAATAAAAGATTTAATGAATTAATTGATTATCATTAATAGAAATAGTTAAATTGATGAATTGATATGTATATAAATATTAAATATACTTTAATTAATCACCTCGTACTTCGAATAAATTTTAGCTAACTTTGAAAGTAATTACAATACCCTATAAATTTAACATTATAAAATATTTATTGATATATAATAATTATTTTATTTTAATAATGATTAAGATAAATGTGGAACTAAAGCAATTAAATATGTCTTAATAAATTGAATTGTAACCTCATTAAAAGGGTGCTAATATTATATAATTAATTTTCAATAAATTAGATTTTGGATAAGAGATAAGGAAAAGTATTAAAGGTACTTTGAAAGTCTAGAATGTCGAAGTGGATATTAATTAAACTATAAATGCACTTGAGATTAATAATTATTCAAAAGTTGAAATAATTTTATCTAAAAATATAATAATTGAGTGTGATCATTAATATTTAGGATCAATCAGATATAATACTGATGCATTTGCTTCAGTCAATTAATTTCGAAATCATTTGATTAGAGATTACATAAAGATCAATTCATGTTAGATTATTATAATAAATTAATAAAATGGAACTTAATTTGGAGATGAAGCTTGGGGTAAATATGGGATATTCAATAATATTAAAGTGGGCCTTTAAATCACAAAGTAATAGAAAATCAAATTTAACTAAGATGTTTAGGAAGTTAAAATAGATATATTCTAACCTATTGCTAAGATTCTACATTAATATATGGATACAATTAATATTGATGATTTAATTACTTTTAAGATTAATACAGAATATATAAATCCAGATGAAGTATACAAAAATTTAAATATCCCACCTGAACAACCTTGGAATGCAGAAATTTTAAATGACTATATTTTTAGAATAAATTTTGAATAACAAGGAATCAAGAAAATTACAATAGAAAAAAAAAAAGATGTATTTGATTTAATACGACTTGTGAGATCAACATTTAAAATAGAAAATACAATACCATTATAATTAGAGTACAAACTTACTAATTACATTCTAGATATGAATAATACAATAAAATAAGAATGTATACCATCAAATAGTTATTTAAATCTAATTAGAGAACCATCTGATAACAAAATTAATATTCTATTATTTAATTTATAAAACTTTAATAAGTAGATTGAGAGAGTTAGTTTAAGCTCAACATCAGCAGATTTAGATAAATTGATATTTCATAATGATAAAACACATGAAATAAATTATTATATTGACAATTAAGTCATAGTTAAAACATTTAATTTAAAACAGTTAGATTTGAGATCTGAGTGTATTATTGAATATCAAATAGTAGAAAATTAAAAAGATATTCAAAATTTTTCTAAAGATTCTAATTATATTTAAGATATACATTAACCAAGTGATGATTTTAGTATAATTTAGTAAAAAATTGATACATAACTCACAATTAATTTTGAGAATAAATACACAAATAAATAATATCAAATTACTATTCAATCTTCTTCTATAGTTTTTGAGGCTTTAAATGAAATTCTTAAGAATGAAACTATTAAAGATTTAAATTATTATGATGTATATTTAAATGATGAAAAAATTGATAAAAATACTAGATTTGATAATTTAAGGATTGGTTAAAATTAAAAATTAATTTACTCTACAGAATTGATTGTATTTTAGGCTATTGTAGAATAATTAGCTTATACATCAGTAGTAGATTAAAATCTTCCTATTTTTTAGATAGAAGAGTAATTTAGAAAGTAACATAATATAGATCAATCATTCTCTCTTTAATTAATTAATTCTGAAAGTAAAAATGAATCATTAAAACAATTCTTAAATAAAAATAAAAATTTTATTTTTGAATTCAAAAAAATTCAAGCTTAAATAGAACCTTCAAAAAATTCAATAAAATAATTAGTTTTTTCAATAAAATTTACAGACCTTGGTTAGTAATATACATTTCAAATAAGTTAGGAAAAAAATTGTTTGGCTCTTCATGAATCTATTAAAAACAAATTTAAATTGGCCAAAAATTAAGTAATTAAGGTATTTATAGGTGATAATTTGATTGATCAAAAAGAGACTATTTCATCAATTTAAAAAAAAATTAATGAAACTCAATAATAATTGACAGTTGAATTTATATTTTTCTTAAATATAGTTTTTGAAAATTCAATTTCAAAAGAATAAAAAATGATTGAAGCATAATTAGAAGATACATTAGAGTAGGTTATACTTAAAAACAATATACCTGAATCAAACTTCTATTATCAATAAAAATTATTATCTGTGAAGAAAAAGATTAAAGATCTACCTATAGAAGATAATTCTAAAATAGAATATAGATAGATGATGGTTTTTGAAAATCATCGAAATGGACAATAGTTTAGAGTAGAAGTATAACCTGAGGATACTTTAAAAATAATAGTAGATAGATTGGGTGTCAATATCCAAAACATTTATTAAGGGAGTGAAATTTTAGATTGGTCTACAAAAATAAAAAATATATAATTGAATTCTTAAGAAAAAATTACATTTGATGAACCACAAATGCTACATGAACCATCCGAGAATTTTTCTTAAATAAATAATTAAGTTAGAGTGATAGTTACTATTGGAGATAGGAAACTACAGTATAATGTTGATTCACGTTGTTAAGTAAAAGATATAAAAAAAACAGTTTTTCAATAAATGATATATGATTAAGGTGCTGATATTGATTTGTATAATTTGATATATGAGGAAAAAACAGTAGATACTTCATAACCTATATCTAATCTTAGTAAAGATCATGAAATAGAATTAAAATTTTAGTTGATCTAATGAAAAGTTATTATCTTAATAAATATCAACTAATATTATTCATTATATTATATTATTATTATGAGTGAAAATAATTATAATAATATTTTAATTATAAAATTAATGTTCTAAGGAGAGGATGTTGATTTCCTAGAAGAAATGTATAAAATAAAGGAGATAGGAAAGATTGGGGAAGGAAGCTTCGGGAAAGTATATAAGGCAATAGACTTAACAGATAATACAGAGTGTGCTGTCAAGGTTAATACTGTTGTGATTATTAAGGTTGTATCTAAAACACTTTTTAAAGATGCTTAAGTCGAGTCAGATATTTATTAGTAGTTAAATCATCCTCATATCGTCTAATGCAAAAGAGTACTTTAGCATTCTTATGAAGATAACAGAAAATAAGAATTAATTTTTTTTAATTATGGAACTAATGAAAGGAGGAACCTTAGCTTAACGTATGAAATAAGAACATACTGATGAAGAGTTTGCCATTATAATGAAAGGAATTCTCTTGGCAGTTCATTATTTACATGAGAAAAGAATCATTCACAGAGATTTGAAACCAGAGAATATTATGTTTGCTAAAACAGACATAAGAACTGTTAAAATTGCTGATTTTGGTTTAAGTTTTAAGTTTGCATCTGAAGGCATGTTCTATAGTTTACTTAATAAAAAATGTGGAACTATTATTTACATGGCTCCTGAGTAATTTAAAGAGAAATTTGTATTCAATTATAATTAATAGATAGTATAGCAAATAAATTGATTCTTGGAGTTGTGGAGTAATTATGTACATGTTATTGAATTCTGGTTAACATCCATTTTATAATAAAAATGAAACTAGAGAATAAGTAATAAAGAAAATTATGAATCCGATATGGCATTTCTCAGATCGTATGAATCCATTAGCAAAGGATCTCATTTAAAAGTTGACTACAATTGAACCAATAGAAAGGTATAGTGTTGGATAGGCATTGATTCATCCATGGATTACTCGTAATTTCTAAGACAAAATACCATTAACTTATAATGAACAAATTTATTAGTTTATCAAAGATCAATAAATTAGAAATGTAATTATAATTATTTAGTATAATAGTAATTTAAGTTACTCTTCTTTTTATAATATATAATGAAGAATTCTCCAATTTAGTAACCTTATCCTGATGATGAGATATTATAAAAATTGAGTGATAAGAAAAAATTATAATAACAGTATTAATCCTTACCTAATCCACAATTATAAAAGTAAAGGGTTTTGTCAAATAATCAAAAAATTAAAAATCTTAGATCTACAAGTCCAAAAGATTAGAAATCAAGGTAAAAATCAAAATCCAAACCAAAGACTTCTTTTGAAAATTTGAATACTCTTGAAGATTAAAGATATACAATAGCTTCATTTAAAAAATGTTTTTAACAAAAAGCAACAGTAAGACCAAAAACAATAGAAGAGGCTTTGAATGAGAATTCTGCAAAATCTAGATAATTTATTAAATAAAAATTAGAGTTACCTCCATTAAAAAAAAAATGATTTCAATTACTCTATTTTATCTTTAAAGAATATTAATTATTTATGATTAAATATATTTTCCTTATATAAAAAGAAACACTTTAAAAGTAAGAGTGAATATTGATAATTTTCTAAAAGAATCATTTAAAACCAGGTAGTACTTTTGGTTTAGACAATATAAGTTATTTACGTTTGTTCAAGTACTTAGTTGATACAAATCCTAATCTTAAATAGAATCTTAAAAAAAAATATTAAATTATATATTTTACCTTTGTAAATGATTACACTCTCTTCCACATTTTTTATGAAATGCTTATATTCTATTAATAAATCTTTTAAATTCATTAAATGTAACTGGATTATTCTTATTTAATTTTTTAATCAATTCTATAAACTCAGGAACATTTTAAAGATTGTCAAACATAGTTAGCAAAATGTTCTCATTTAATTCAGATGCTAATTCATAACCAGGTGTTCTATTAATAGCTTTTTATATAATTTCATGTTCATGTTATTCAGGAAGATCATGCAATACTTAATCATACATTAATTATTCTTCTTCTTGATTTTATTGAAATTGTTATAGTTTCATATCATCATTAGATTTTAATTTCATAGAACTATTTTCTCTAGGTGACATACTCTAAAATTAAGTAGCCGTACTTGTATATATTTTACGATGATTAGTCTTCTAATGTTTTTCCTCTTATCTATCTAAAATTCTTTATTTCAAAGATTGAGATTATTTGGATGATTAATTATCAATAGTATGTAATGATAATTAACGACTTAATAATTGAGAATTTTCAGATTCAGATTTAACACTTTGTAATTTATTTTTTTATAATGTTTAAGATGGGGAAGGTAATGGAAATGATCCTGTTATTGTAGAATTTAGATTTTGATGGGAGATTTAATTTCTTGGAGATTATACATTAGAATTATTGTTTGATTATATAGGTGTAATAATATTACCAGTAGTGCCTAAAGAATTAAAGTGAAATGTACTACTAGTTGTTAATTATTAAGAATTATTTTTATTATATGAACCCATTATTCTAATGTTATCTATTTATTCAGTAGTTTATCTATTTAATATTTTTTCTGTTTAAGTAGAAATTTCAAATTTGATAAGATTATCAGTTTATTAGTATTAATCTTTTGTATTTTTTTAATTTTTTAATTTTTTAGATTTATCTAATATAATTTAAGATTATGATTATTATTACTATTATTATTATTATTATTATTATTACTATTATTACTATTATTATTATTACTATTAATGTTTTATTGAATTTTATCTATTTATACTTATATTTTATGATGATTTCATTCTTACATTTGATGAATTTGGTGATAATTAATTTGATGAAGAATTCTTAATTTTTAATGTATCCATTTATCTTTAATTATAATTTATATTTGATAAATCCTACTTTTTCTATGATCCTCCAACTGAAGACATTATTCTATTACTAGGCACCTATCTTTAATAAGGAATCTATTCAATAGGTATACTAACTCTGATAATTGGTTTATCAATATTCATTTCAATTTCAAATGAATTTTATAGTGAATTTCTTTATGTTGTTGTATATTATTTAGATTGTTTATCTAAAAATCTAGATGAAATAGGTTCTATTTCTTTAGTAACAGAACTATTATCAATTACATCATTTTATAATAAATCATTTTCTTCTATATCCTTAATTAGATCAGCAAGATCATTAATTTATGATGTAACCTTCTATTCTAAAATAAATTACATTTGTGTTAATCTTCTTGTTTAATTATTGACATCTAGAGCATTAACCAATTTGACTAATCTTTCCATTTATTGTGTTTTCTTTTAAATAATATAATTTTCTTTAGGTGTGAGTAGAATTTACTATTTTGAAGATTATTATTATGATTAATCTCTACTTGTTGTTCTAGGATGAGCTGTTATACCATTAACTACAATTTCATCATTACTACTCTATGATACATATCCTCTATCACTATTCTTTTTAGCAAATCTTGTATAATTATCTAATTTTTATTTCATTTCTGTTCTTTCACTTTCCATTTAATAAAATTATTGTTACAACATTCTATATTATATATCTTTTTAATCATTCTTTATTTCTAATTCCAATATATAATGTTCTTTTTTTGCAAGATCTGTTTAAATTTATTCTAATTTATTTTTAAGTGACAATATATCATTAACATATTAAGCACAACGACAATCTTCTTTATGCATTACCTTTTTCTTTATTTTCCCTTTCATATCATTAATTATCTATTATTGTTTATCCTTTTCTTCTTATCTATGCTTCATTTTTTACATTACTGCTATAGCAGTCTATTATTAAATCTAGAGTATATGTTATTATAGAAATTAAACAGTGTGATCAAAATTTTATACTCCAAAATTTTCAGGATTCACTGACTTTAATACTTATTCCAAATTTAATCTTCTAAATTGTATATCTGAAATTAATAAATCCACATCTCCTGGTTTACCTTAATATTCTATATCTAATTATTTCTTGTTAGCTATAGCTTCACCTAACATAGCTATAGTATCATTAGTAAATTCTATCCATTCTCTAATCTCCTCTTCATTCTTCAAAATTTAACTAGATGATTTTTAACAATTTTCATAATAATCTATTATAGTACTTGTACCAACATCTTAAAATCCTTTGAAATTACGAGGCTTTTATTCTTTACATTTATGATCACACCAAGGTATTTAATGGATATTCTTAACTTATTCAACATTCCCTAATTAGTCTAAAACTGACACACTTCCCAATTATAAGGCATTCACAAATTCAGGAATTTTTGTTGCCACTATAATTTATTATGGTTCTATAGGAGGTTGAATTTTTAATTGAGAATTCTCAAGCATTTCTCTTATTATCATAAAAAGCTTGTCCATTATACTTCCAATTTCTAAATTGATTTCTCTTTGAACAATTAAAATACATTCTGAAAATACTTCATAACAATCCATTAAGATTTTAGAATTTGGTTATTTACTTCTTTTTTAAAGATGATCAACAATAATTTAAAGTTTTTTTACTTATTCTTCCATTTAATAAATTAAGAAATGAGATTAATAATTCAGAGATGTCTTAGTGGTTCTGTATCTGTTGGAGATCAATTAGTATCTCAAATTGGAAAAGGCTTAGTAGTCCTTCTAGGAGTATTGATATAATTATATGTCTTAAGATACATGAAAGAGATACAAAAGAGGTGGCTAAGAAATTGGCTCATAAATTATCTAAAATAAGATTGTGGGAGAAAGAAAATAAAGCATGGAATGGATCATGTGTTGATTTTAATTATGAAATTCTAATAGTCTCTTAATTTACATTATATGCATACATGAAAGGTAATAAACCAGATTTTCATTATGCAATGGATGCTGAAAAAGCAAGAGTATTAATATATTTAAAAAGAAAGGAATTATATGAATATTTTGTTGATGAATGTGGAAAGGCTTATAAACCAGAGAAAATAAAGAAGGGAGCATTTTAATAATATATGGCAGTTAATATAGTGAATGATGGACCAGTAACTATTGAAATAGATGAGATAGAAGTAGAGAAACAATAAAAATAATAGAAATAGTAATAATAATAATAATAATAATTACCATAAGAAGAATAAGTAGAAGACAATAAGATTTAAAAAATAAATTGAATAAACATATATATATATATATTTGTAGTTCAATTTCATAGTGCTTCATTTTCTAAAGATCTCATTATTCTTTAATGCAAACTATTAATTGAACTTAACATATGTTATTCGAATTTTAAGAGAAATAATAAATCCTTAGTCATTTATTATTTGTTTGAAAGTTAACCTTGCATAGTAAATTGTAATTGCTTCAATTTTTCTTTTTTATCTTTTTTATCACTTTTTGAAAATGGAATCATTTATCTATCTGATTTTGTTAACATTTGAGATGACTTTACTTCTTCAACAGGTTCATCCTCATTAAAATCAAATGAAATTTCACTTTCTGACATATTAATTATAAAACATATAATAATTTTATTATTATTATTTATAAAAGATGGAACTGTATGGTATTATTTGGTTAAGCAATATTATAGAAATCTAACATATAATCAATATATATATATGATTAAAAGATAATAAATTATTATATAAAAGTTAATTGTTATTGTAAATTAAAAATATATATATTATGGGAACTTGTTAATAATGTAAATAGTAGAAAACTCCTGAAATTATAGATATTGTTCCATCAATACCAAGAGAATCAAAAAGTGATAACATCAGAAAGATTATGCAATTAATGAATGAATTTGATAGTTACTAAATCATCAAAACTACTAAATACTCATTTGTATATGATGATGCTGTCAGATTGGGTCGATAGGATAACACCAAAACAATCATTACTCAAGGAACTGTCAAACCAATTAATATAGCTAAGTTACGAACAGTAAATGAGGAACTCAAGTAACTAAAGAATTAATCTAACGAATAAGATAAATGTGTAATTGACAAGAAAATGGTCTTCTAATGTGGTCTTGAATTAGGTGATACCTTACCTTAAATAAAATTTCAAATGTTATTCAATGAATAAGATCAGATTTTGAATTTACAAGAAGGTAAATACACTCTAATAAAATCATGGAGTCAAGGAGAACAAATGGTTAATTTTGAACATGCAATAGATTTGATTGATTCATTAAAATAGTTTGATTTGCAATTAATAGGGTTGACAAGAGGTAATATAGAATAGAAATCTGTTTATGAAGAATTGGTAAGATCAAATCATAGATGGGAATAATTTCAACATATTTATATATGTACAGAAGGATATGAAAATCTTGATAATCATATATTAGATATCTACTTCTAAGAAAATACAAATGAAGTAGAGGAAGGTTATTTGGTTAGTGCTTTATTGTTTTATGGTAAAAAATTAATATGGAAAAGATATAATCATGAATGGGATATATTTTCAGATTCAGAAGAAGTATCTCAGGAAGTAACAACCTTAATTAAACAAGGTATAAAAGAATACTCTGGAAAACAAGAAACTAATCTTGTTAGTAGTATCACTAAAGAATAGTATTGTTAAATTAAGAAATTTGTATTAGATTAATAAACTCAATAACCTTTCACAAGAAATATTAATGTATGTGTTACTAAGAAAACCTTTTTTGGTAGGAATTTCAAAAAAATTGTGTATGAAAAACCAATAATAGAAGTAAATTGTTCACCTAAATCATAATAACTTACTGAATCCTTCATTAAACCTCTTGGATATTAATCTACTTTATGGAATGGTTAATTGTTAAAGAAAGTATTAATGTAAAAAATATCAGAAAATAATCTTAATATTGAAGCAGCATTAGAAAAACAAATTAAAATTTAAATTAATTATGAAAAAAATCTAATTTAAATATCTACTTGGGAACAATCTACTCTTATTCCTTATTATAAATCTACTCAATACATTTCCTAAGTCAAATAATGGATTCATGCAAGAGATAAGGTTTTAAGTGAATGTGATAGTTCTGATGATCCTGTTACTTCTAGAATTAATAAAATGATTAAAGACTTTTTTACTCATATACCCACAGTTGAAAAAATACAAAATTAATAGTATGGAAAAATACCTTATGCTGAAAAAAGAAAACCTCCTTATGAGGAAATGTCTATCTCTAAAAGTTTGGGAAATGAAGAAATTACTAGAAAAAAAGATAAAATTCTATTAATTTTATTAATTGATTATGAAAATGATGATACTCTGGATTTATTAAAAAGTTTGATTAAATACAAAAAAGAAAATTAATCCCCTTTGTAAATTGCTGTTTTAGGACATATTAGAGCAGAATCTTGGACAAAATTATTTTAAGCTTATATGGAAAAACATAAATTAAATAATGATGCAGAAGAAGGAATTATTGAAACATGGTTTCCAGTTGAAGATAAAATAGGTTCAATTACTTTTAGTGCTATATTAAGTAAAATGTATAATCTTGTACTTGAAAAAAGAGATTGTATGCTTGTTGATTTAAACAATTAAATTAGAGTATTAGAATCAAGTAGAAGAGTTATTCCTAAAATTCATAATTATTTAAATGATTTACAAAATTCATTCTAAAATCCAGAAAAAGATATCATGTAATATTTTATTATTATTTCTAGAAATTATAAAAATTAATATTTTTAGTTTAAAAAATGTATTCGATTAGAACATAATCTTAAAGATATTACTACTAAAATTAAATAGTAATGTAAAGAAGATGATACTCTAATATTGTATGAATAAAAGAAGTCTAAAATTTGGGATTTTGAGAATGGCAAAATTAGTGAAACTAGAAAATACTCTTAACCCACTAAAATTTTGAGGTTAATTCCTAAATCAACAGAAATGGACACTTTAAATTCAATTATAAATAAGTACATTGATAGCTAAGATATTTTATAAATGAAATGATTATTTTTTATAAAATATAATAAACTATAAATTTATTTATTTTGTTTAATTTAAATTAAGTACAAAAATCAATAATATATTTTTATACTATTTTTAAAGAATAGATTATTAAAATAAATTTTGAGTAACTAAAATAATTAAATAATTTCAGAATATTTAGTTATATTAAAATTAATAAAAAAATTAATTAAAATCTATATATATACTCTTATTATTATATAGTAAATATATAAATCTAATATTACTTATATAATAGATATAATAGATATTAAAATTAGATTTTTATGTAATATCAAATAATTTATAAATTGATATTTAAGTAGTTAATATATCACATAAAAGGTTATGGTCTAGTAGCTTGACCTAGATTTAACATTAATTTTAATCTATCATTTTCATCTCTCAACCTCTTATTTTCTGATTCCAAATGATTTGAGTTTTCTAAATAATTATATTGTATTATTACGTAAATTTGTTGAATTTACAACAACTCTTTAAATTGGTTAAATTTACTATTATTGTTGATGTTAGAATTAGACTTAGAGATTTTCTATCTATTATTTTAATTGAGTATTCTCAGCTTCTAAATCAGCAGCTGTTTTAAGTACATACTCTAATTCATCAAAACCTTTTCTAAAATATATATTTTGTTTAATTTACCTTAGATTATCTAATTCTAATTTCAATCTTTGATTTTCTTTCTAAACAATATCTGCTTATCTCATTATATCTTCTACACTACTTTTAGATAATTTAAGACTATCTAATTCAGTTCTCAATTATCTATTCTCCTTTTCTAATTGATTTCTATCTGAAATAAATCTAGCTGTTAATTCTCTTATTTCTCTATCTATAGATATTCTTCTTTATAATTCTTTCTAATAACGTTAATCTTCACTTTCTTTTTCTCTATTAACATATTTTACTCTCCATTATTCACTCTCATATTATAATTAAGCAATCTTTTTTTCATAATCTCCTATTTTATTTCTCAATTAAATTAATTCTCCTTCAATTAAATCAACTCCCTTAAATCTTAATTCATTCTAATTAACATATTCTCCAATCCTTCCATTCTCCTCTCTTAATCTATCATTTTCCACTGTTAACAGAAATGCTACCATATAGACATCTTCTCCTAACCAAGGTTTCATAGGTGGTTATCCTCCTTACATCTCTTGGAAATTGGGTCTTTCTTCAATCACTCTTGCTTGAATATGTTACTATTAGAATCTCATTTTCTAATCAAAATGAGCCTAATTCAAATTGGAAGGAAGTTCTCTTGATGGTGGAGGTAACTATCGATATTGTTAAACTAGCATTTTTGACGGTTAATAAATAAATAAATAAATTGCGGAATAATGAATTCATTATTTTTAGATATATTTTTTTATTATTATTAATTTAACATAATATGAATAGTCAAATAAGTAAAAGATAATAATAGAATCAGAAATAATATAATATTGAACTCAAAATAATAAATGAATATAGTTTGATTAAAATTTATAATATATTTTATAAATCTTAATATTATATATTGTATGAAAATATTAATGTATGTTTGCTAATTCTTAATAAGAAATTTAATTATTTTAAGAATATTAAAAATCATGTGTGTTAATTTTGTTTCCAAATAAACTATAAATTATATTAAACAATCAAAAAGTAAGTGATATAATTAATAGATTTTGTTAATAGATATATAGGTAATTCTATAGCAAATGGAGATTGATGTTATTAATTATCTTAAAGGACTAATTGAATTTATTTATTTGAAATATATTTTAATTATTATGGGTGTGTGTTGTAGCAGTAAGAATTTAAAGAATCGTCAAAATGATTATGGTGTCTTATCACCTACAAATAGATAACTTGAATAAGAAGAATATTAAGAATTAAGTGGAGAAATTAAAGAGATATTAGAATTGTATTTGAATAATGAAAAGAATTCTCCATAAAATAAAAATTTGGCTGAATCAAATCAATTGAAACATAGTTTAGAATAGCCCAATACTCCATATTTTAAGAATTCTCATGACTCTGATGATAAATTTTTGTAATTGAAATAAGCAAAACAAGTTGAAGAATTAGTAAATGAAATTAAGATTTAGGAAGCGTTCTTCTCATAAGAATAGTGAAAAGTTACCTCCTGTATAGGAAGAAACTGAACAGTAAAATTAGTAAAGCTAATCGAAACATCCTATATTTAAATTCAAATGCCTAATATGTAATAAGGATCATATATGGACTCATAATTGCAATGAAAAGTTGGTGTATAATGATGATAATATGATAGTATGTGAAAAATGCAAATTCAAATAAAAAATTACTGAATACGACTTTATTTGTCAAAGGACATAATAAAAATTTAGATTCACAACAGAGTAGATAAAAGATTTCGAATTTTGAATACATTTCAATACATATTTTATATAATAAATAATAAAGTTATGAAAAAACAAAAATTCGAAGATCGAGTATATAAAGTAGTTACTTTAGGAGAAGGCAGAGTTGGAAAAACATCAATAATAACAAGATTCTTTCATAATTCTTTTTAAGAATAAACTTAGGAAACCTCAGATGGTTATTGTAAAGAGAAAACCATTTAGACTAAAAAAGGACCTATTGATTTAGCCATCTGGGTAATGTTTATATTATATATATAAAGGATACAGCAGGCTAAGAGAAATATCATAGTTTAGCACCTCTTTATTATAGAAATTCAGATGCTGCGATAATAGTATATGATATCACAGTCAAAGAAACATTACAAAAGGGACGATAATGGATATAAGAATTAAAATAATTGGCAGAAAATGACAATATGCTATTAGTTATAGTGGGTAATAAATGTGATATGCACATTCATAAAGATGTAGAATAATCATGTATTATTTGTAATATAACAATTATTAGAGATTGATGAATTATGTAATTAATATAATGCAAAGCATTTTTTAGTTTCAGCTAAATCTGGGAAAGGAATAACTGAAGTTTTTGATTATCTTGCTAATGGTAAATTAATATATGAAAAATTTTTAGAGTTGATGTAATTTGTAAAATAAACAAAAGAAAGGAGTAGTTTATAATAAGGAAAGAAGAAATAATAATAAAATGAAGGTGGAGGATGTTGTTGATTAATGTTTATGTTAGTTTTTTTAATCATAATCTTTTTCTTAAATTATTTTATGTCATGACAAAATTAATTTCTGGATAAGGTTTAGTTTATGTAATTCTTTCCCATTATAGATATTCACTTTCATAAAGTAATGATTTATTAGTCTCAGATTTCTTTTTTAATGTCTTATTCTTCAATTATTCTTCTATTATCTTTTACATTTCCTCTAAATATTCAATAGGTATTTATACAAATTTTTTATTCTTTTTCTCTTTTCATATCTTCCTTAGATTACAATTAAGTTTCTGGCAATTCATCATATTTAGATTTAACATTTTCTTCTATTTTAGAATTATCAACCTATTCAAATTTAGAATCACTTTTAAATGAAATAAATTAATGAGGATTTTCTACTTAGTTTTCATTAACTTCTTAAAATTAAGTTTATTTCTATTTTTATTACTCATTAATATTAGAAACTAAAAGTATATAAAAATATTTACATCTTAATTATTCATTTCTAACATCTGAATTGATTTTTTAATTCTTATTTATTATTTCCCAATTTTCATTTCTATTCATTGATTTAAAAGCATTAATCAATCTTTTATCTTCCTCAATTTCTTTTTCTGTTGTTCCTGTTGAAATAACTTCTGGTTAATCTGTATATAATAAGTATTTTTTTAATGTTGACATTTCCTCTTGTTAATCTTTATTATTAAATTTTGATTATTTACTTTAATTTAATTCTGCTTCTTTTTAATTTATTTAATATTATTATTAAAGATTTTTATTAATTTCTTTATGTTAATCTCTTTCTACTACTTACAATGTTGAATCCTCTTTATCATTATATATTGAACGTTATTCTCCAATTTATTTATTAAATGAATAATCTTGAAAATTGTAAATTTCTTTAATCTACTATTATTATTACATATAATTCTAAGTATCTTCTTAAATATTATTCAAAAATTTGACCATTCTATTATTATCTTAATTTGGAATAAATTTAGAAATAGATTCATCATTAATAGTATTAATTTATACTTCAAGAGTATTTTAATAGCTCTCATTTTATTATTATTATTAATCTTCTTGATTTAATGATTCCTGTAATTATATAGCTGAGTTTAATAGTTATTATTCCATCTAAATATTTTCATTCATATTCTAATCCTAATATTCTAAATCTATATTATTTATAATCACTGAAGATTCACTTATTAGATTAATATCTTCTATTTTTATATTATCCACATCTGTTGTAATTTATTATGATTACTATAATAAAATGGTTTCGTCTGAATATTCATCTCCCAATCTCTCCAACCAGTATTCAAGAGAATGAACTTCAGTTTATTCATCTTCTGTTTCTTATTTATCTGTATCAACTGATGGATTCATGAGTTACTATACTTGATTCTCTATTTATTATGTTATAGGAGTATCTGAATATACATCTAATTAGTCTACTAGATCCTATTTAATTATTCTCTATACCAAGATTGCATCTTATTAAACTTTAATTGCTTCTTCCATTCCATCCCAATCATCATTCAAAGAGAAACTGTATGCATTCAAAACAAATAAAGTCAATATGAAATATTTCATAATTATAAAAACGAATAAAATCATTAGTAAATAACTTAATCTTTAAGCGATCCTAACAATTACCTAAATAAATAATCATTTTAATACCACATATTCTCATTATTTTAGTAACCTTTAACTGGAAATGGACTAACTTTCTCTCTTGATATATTAAAGATCGAATCAAGTGTCAAAATGTAAGCATCATCTAACATTCTAGGAATCAATTGAGCCAACAAAGGACTAGATTCTTCAATACATGGATTTGTATTAACTTCTATTAAATATAGATTGAACTTTTCATCTAAGAAATAATCAAATCCAAATATTTCCATACAATTTCTACGATTATTTCTATTTATTTTATTTCCTACTGAATTCATTACTAAAAATGCTATCTCTTTCATCTTTTTAACAATTACTTATCTGAAATCAATCTTATTCTTAAAAATCTTCTAAATCTAATCAAAAGATAATTGATTTCCTGCTTCTTGATCCCCATATTTTTGACTATATTTCTAAATTGCATTATTTGTTAAATGGATAAATAAATTGTTAACATCATTTGTAACAAAATCTTCAGATGCAGTCCTTATGTATCCTTCTCTATTATTTAATATTTATAGAATACTTAAAGAAATAGCAATTTAAATCTTAATCAACCAAAACCCAAACTCTTATATCAAATTTACGATTATTTATAAGTAAAGGTTTTTCAATATACTTCTATACTACAAAAGAAGGAGATTTTATAATTATTCCTTAATATATTTTTTCATTAGGAGTTTCAATATGCTTTTCACTTACTCCTGATGTGTATTCTATTAATAAATCAGTTAATTAATCAATACTGTTAAAGACATTGATACCTCTACCTCGATTTAATCCTGTTGGTTTAAGGAGCCATAAATAATCATCTCCTAAAAAAGTATCTTTCATTTAATAATCAATATATCTCCTTTCTTTACTAGGTGGAATTCTGAGTTTCTTTTTGATTTCTTATTTTTTAAGTAAGAGTTCATCTTAAGATATAGGATTAGGGGAGTATTGATTATAATAATTGAGAAATGCAACAAGATGAGACTCAATTTATGAATCATTAAAATCAATAATGAATGTCACAGGAAGAATGTCAAATACATTTCTATGAATGGAATCACAAAAGGTAGTCATATTCAACAGGAGATTCTTCTTATTACTTATTTCTTAATGAAATTCAAAATGATTAACTAATGATCTATGAGGATTGTAGGCATTCATTTTGTAATATTTGTAACCTATATTAGATTACTACCATCTAAAATGAACTCTTGTAGTACTTTTACATTGATGCCATTCACGTCTTGTGTCCATAATGCGTTTTATCAGTTCATGATTATTGCCTCCACCCAAGAGATATGAATATTAGGGTTCAAGAATAGTAAATGGAACTTTGTTTAAAGGAATTTATTATTGTTTGGGTTCAATACGAGGAGGCTTTGGAAGGACTTTAATTGATTATTAAGATCGTCTAATAATCTAAGGAAGTGCATTTTGTCTTTAACGCTATTGATTAGATTTGTTGCGGATTTCTATTTAGTTCTAGATGAAGTGATCAGCAAGAGTTTTGGCTAATTGTTGTAATGAGCGATGACTGGTAACCTTATTTAAGGACTAGGCCAAGAAATAGTTGAACTTGTCAGAATCAAGACTTAGTTTTACTCTTTCAATCTATTTGTTTCTTGAGACCTCTATCATTTTAATTAATTTATTATGTTATGCAAGACCCCAAAAGAAGCTTCTCTATGTAATAGTCTTTGTTGCAACAACCTCCATCAATGCTCTAAATATCAGAGTGAGTGCTCTATATACTCAGATGTATATCATTAAATAAGTAGAATCATTGCATCAAATTGAATTGTGATACCTGTTGTTTATTACAAGAAAATCAACATTCTTGTGGAACTTATGTACAATGTAGCAAATATTTCGACTTATTCTATTTGTGGTGTTTAATTATCCTAGCCTTGTTGTTGGTTGTGTTACTGATAATTAAATTGCGTACTAAGTAGAGATCACAATAATAAGGTTTATGACAGCTCGCCTCATACGAATTCATAGAGCATTTGCAAAGTTTAACAAAAAAACGACAATAATTTGATCAGAACCATAATTCTTAATAAATTGTAATATAACATCTTTTTTTGCAATTATTTACCATTAAATATTAATTATGCAAAAAGCAGAAGAACAATACTAAACTCTATACAAACTCTAACCAGAACCAGTAACTACTCCAGAAATCAAAGGATATGATTTTAATCAAGGAGTTGATTTTGATGCTCTCTTAAAGTCTTATGCTAATTTCGGATTATAAGCTACTCAATTAAGTACAGCAATAGATTTAATAAATAAAATGATTCATTGGCGAATGGGTCCAAATGAAGATAATGAAGATCCCAATACTAGATGTACCATATTTTTAGGTTACACAAGTAATATGGTATCATCAGGCAATAGAGATATTATCAGATACTTGGCTTAACATAAAATGATTGATGCTATTGTAACTACAGCTGGAGCAATAGAAGAAGATCTTATGAAATGTCTCTCTACTTTTCACAAAGGTGATTGGTAAGCTAATGATAAAGAAATAAGATTAAAAGCTATTTGTCGTATTGGTAATATATATGTTCCTGCTGCAAATTATGGAAAACTAGAAGATTGGCTTCTTCCAGTATTTTAAGAAATGTACAAAGAATAAAAAGAAAAAGGAACTATTTGGTCACCATAATCAATGATTAAAAGATTTGGTGAAAAAATTAATGATGAAAGATCAATATATTACTGGTGTGCTAAAAATAATATCCCTGTGTATTGTCCTGCATTAACAGATGGAGCCATTGGAGATATGATGTTCTACTTTAATTATAAGGAAGAAGGATTCATTTGTGATATTCTATAAGATGTTGTAGCATTAAATAAAAAAGCAATGTATGCTAAGAAGTCAGGATTGATTATTCTTGGAGGAGGAGTAGTAAAACATCACATTATGAATGCAAACATATGGAGAAATGGTGCTGATTGGGCAGTATTCATTAATACAGGAATCTAATATGATGGAAGTGATGCAGGTGCAAAACCATCAGAAGGAATCACTTGGGGTAAATTAAGAATTGATGCTGAATATGTAAAAGTATTTTCTGAGGCTACACTTGTGTTCCCTTTAATTGTTGCATAGACTTTTGCTAAAAATTTCTAGGAGGCAAAAAGAGTTTGAAATATATAATTGTTAATAAATATTATTTAACCAATATAAATGAATTTCCCTTTGCCTGAAAATAGAATTGCTAATTATGCCAAAGTTTCAACTTTTCTACCACATCTTGTATGTTAGTGTTGCAAATCACTTTCTCTACAACAATTGATATGTCTTAAATGTCATGAAAACTTTTGCTTTAAATGCATACCTTATGCGGATGATCAGATTCCTGAACCAATAGAAATAACTGTTCAAACCATTCTGATCAATAAGAATACAAAATATGTTTAGGATATTAATTATAGAGGCTTCTGTCCTAATTGTGAAGTTCTGACAGTCTTAACATCTTAACTACCAAAAATGTTTCATAAATTATACACTAGTGTCAAATTTTCATGTCAAAATAGAGTCAACGGATGTCCTGAAGAACTTTGCTATCCTGATTTGAGGATACATGAATAGAAATGTGGATTTAATACAATCACTTGTCCAAAGTAAGAATGTGGCTAACAGACATACAAAAAAGATTTTATAACTCATGTCTCCATATGCAATCCAACAACAGAGTGTATTTGTGGTTCCACTAATCAACATGATCAATAAAAATGTCTAAGATTACAATGTGAAACTCTTAAAAGTTAACTCAATACTTAAACTAAAGAATTACAACTACTAAAAGATGTATAAACTACACTCTCCTACTCCAGTCCCCAAAAATAACTTAATAGAGTAATAATCAATCAATCACCTTATGTGGCTACATCCCCTTTCTCATTATAAGGTTTACTACAATAATCGGCTCAAATATTAAATGATGGATGATCTTATATATATATTAAATAACAACTATTTTTCAAACTTGAACTGCAATTTTTGTATATTGCAATTTATTTATTATATCCTCTAGAATTATGCAATATATATAAAAAAACCAATTTATATGAAATGTATATATGAAATATAAGAAAATAATTATTATATTGAATTAATCTGATTTGATTAAGAATTATAAAATTCTTAATTCACCATTGAGGGTATTTGTCTTATATATTTACATATAAGAAAGTAATTTAATATTTTTATATTAAAAAAATATTGTTTACTAATATTTGTTATCAACAAATCCATAAATGAGATCTTGTTAGATTAGTTAAAAATTATATTTTTGTTATTCATTCATAAGTTACTTGAAGTAGACATTCAAGAAATTAATGTGTTCTTATTAAGTCATAATAAATTAAAAAAATGATGCAGGGACCTAAATACTAACAGCAAAATATTCAGGAACTTTGCAGATCAAAATTTGATGACGATGAAGATCCAGAAATAGATCAAGATGTTAGGTTTGATAGATTTGGAAACCCAATCAATAAATAATTAAAGTTTCACATTTGTTTTAGAGATGAAATTCTTCCTTCTCAATAAGTGTTTGATATTCATGTAGTTGAAAATTGGAAACTCAATAATTTGATTGAAGATAAAGAGGAATCGGATGCTTGCTGTAAACAATTATGTTAGATTATATGAATTTTTATCATTATAACACTTTTTCTGCCATTTATGAGGGTAACAATTAATATAATATATCTATGCGATTCTAATATTTTGGATCAAGTGTCTCTCTTTATTTATTCAATAATAATTTCATCTATGTTCTATATCCATCATATTCTACTGGATTAGAAAATAAATGACTAACACGATTCACTTATTCCCATACTGATTCTTTTTTATATTTCTCTAACAATTAATGTTTCAAGTCTATTTGATAAGAATTTTGTTTATGATTCTTTTGTATTTTTCCAATTCTTTTATTTTCTTCCTTAATCTTCAATTATTCATTATGATATTTATTGAAATTTACATCATCTTAATTGATTTTTAGTTTCTCACTTATAATTTTTTATCGTTCTGATAGTAATTATGATTTCAAATTAACTACTCTTTCAATTTTATTATCAATTTTTTATTGTAAATCATGATCAAAAACTAATGATTATGTTTTATTTCTAATTTAAATTTACTATTTGAATGGTTTATTAAGTTGACTTTATTTTAATCTTAACTTTTATAATTTTTCACATTGTTTAGTAATCAACATTTAATATTATTCATTATCAAGTTGTTCTTTTTTATTTTTCACTTCTTCTAAATTGGATTTTTGAAAATGTTATTTTAATTCACTCTTAAATTATTGAATTCTCTCTATTGCTTTCTTTTCTAATGATAAATACATAGTTACCCTTTTCTTTTAATTTTTACATATATTCTTCTTATTATATTTCCTCTTATTATAATATTTATTATCTTTTAACAAGAAACTTTTCATTTGAAGTTATAAAGAATTTGTCTTTATTCTCATATTCACGATGAGTTTCACATCTTTTATTTGATTATTCTGTTTTCAATAATTAAGTAGATGGCTTTGATTAGATAGTAATTTATTTAGATGATTAGGTTGGCAATTTAGTTTTACGATCTTAAATTTTATTGTTTTATTGATAATATTAAGCAAACTTTTTTTATCTTAGAAGTTCTTAATAAATAAGATTCTAAAGCACTCTATCCTTAGTAGATATGTTTTAAGATTATTCCTCTATAGTATCAACAATGGAAGAAAATTGAACATTGGTTTATGAAGGTAACTCAGATAAACCAGTAGTTTTGTTTCTACTTCTCACATTGTTAATTTCATTTACTATTTCTAATTTATTTAAAATTTAAGATTTTACTAAGCACTCTAGCTTTGTAATGATCATATTTTACTTATCTTAACTCATTATTGACAGATTAAAATTCATCTATGGATCTTTATAGTATAGAATATACAAATACTTATATGTGAGATCTTATGGACGATATCCTAATCTTTTACATAGTCTGATAGTGGATAAAGATTCTGGTTATGTAGATTCAATCAATTTCTTAAAATTATCATCCATTTATATATATCACAATTATTATACATAAGTTTCATAAGCCTTCAAATTCAATCCATTATAATATTTATCAAATGGATTATGTCCACCATCAAAGATTCCTTGAATCAATGGTTATCCATATAAGTCCATTTGTTCTTTCAATATTTCATCACCATCTAATCCCAATTTGTTAAAAAATGAACTATCTATTAAATATTCAGCATATTCAAAAATTGATTTTACAACATTCCTTTTTGGTTTACTAATTTCTGGAGTAAAGACTTCTTAAGGTGAGTAAGGATTAAAATTAAAATCTTTTAATCTAATTAATTTCTACAATTATCCTATTAATATTTAAAATGATGCTATCTCTTAACCTATCATCTTTCCTTGTATTATTCTATTCCATAATTTACACATCTTTGAACATATGTAAGGACAATCCAAACAAAATAAAAATGTATCAATAGATTGAATAAATACACTTTCATCTTATTTTAACTTATCCTCACAAAATATTCTATAAGTCTAAATTATTTATGTCATATTTCGATGACAAAGACATAATGGAGGTAACATTTACAATTCCTTTTGTAATTAAGGTCTATTTGATTTATTCATACTAATTATTTTTAATTAAGGTTAAACATCTCCACTTAATCGAGTTATAAGTCCTGAAATTCCTCCTCTTTTGCATCTAATATCTTCCTTTGCAATTGAAACTACTTATTCAATAGAACCACCCTTTAACGGCAATATATATGTACCTAATCTCATTATATGTGCTACTGGAATCTCTGCAAAACAACAACTTATTTTATGTACTTAATTGTTCTCTTTAAAATAACTAATAAATTCAAAAACTAAAATTAAATTCAATTTCTCTTTTTAATTTTCACAATTTAAATAGAATCCATTATTTCTATTTTTCACTGGAAAATACCATATATCTTCATTTTCAGGAAGATATTTAGCTTTGAGAACAAGACTATTCTCCACAAATTATTTATAAAAATTATCATAAATAGCCACTACTATTTCTCTTTTGAAACATGTGCTTTTATCTTTTGGGGAAGGAATTCCTTGTGCCTCTAATAATTTAATTTTGCATAAATTATTTGCAGAACATGAAGGATGAATTTGAATGTCCCCTAACAAGTCTAATTTATATCGAAAGGCATAACTAGGTAAATTGGCTTTAGAGGTAAAGGGTCGACAATAATTTAAAGGTAGTTTTGAGTATAAAACTTTATGCATCTTTAACGAATTATCATAATATCCTTTCATCTATTTAAGAAGCTTTTCTTACTCTAAATAATAATTCATTCAGTTTGTAATCAAGTATTGGATGTATATGTATCAAATAGAATAAATTGCTCAACTTTATATTACCCTATCCTTCTTTATCTAAAATAGAAAATAAATATTATATATCTTCAAATTTTACATTTAATCTAATTTTCTCAAATAATGTCCTAGATTAATTAAATAACAAATTACTTTAATAATGGAATATTTACTATATCACTTTCTTCTTCTTTATATTAATCCATTTCTTTTTTGAGATTATAAATTAATTTAGCTGAATTAAAGAATTACTTTAATTATTGCATTATAACCTTTTCAAAACTGAAATAATCATATGATTTTTAATTCAATAGTTCTGATCCTTTGATAATAACTCCAATTTTAAGTAATCCTGAAAACATTTATTATTATGTTAACAATTTAACTTTTTATTCATCAAGTTCATTAAATAGACAATATATATCATTTCTAAGAGAAATACTTTATAATTATTAAAGTTTTTCTTTTTCTTTTTCTTTATTATCTTTATCTTTATTATTATTATCTTTATTATCTTTTTCTTTATTATCTTTATCTTTATTATCTTTATCTTTATTATTATCTTTTTCAATCTACTTTTCTGAAACCTTATCTTATTATCTTTCTGAAGACTTTTCTTATTATCTACTTGATGCTTATTAAAGTACTGATTGTTTTTCTTTTAGAGCTGATTATGGTTAAGAAATTGCACTCAAAGGTAATTATAATTATTATCTTAAAGATTGTCCTTATTAAGATTATCCTTATTTTAATAATGAAGGAGGTTATAATATTTATTATGAATTACCTTTAGATTATTCAATTTTTTCTTATGCTTCCTTTGATTATTGTACTTTTTCTTATTCAGATTATGCAATTTCTTATTTTCTTTTATTTATAAATTATGTAAATTCAATCACATTAATATCCTCTTCATCTTTATCTATTTTATCATCTCTAATCATTTCATAAATTTATAAAGCTTTATCTTTATCAATAATAAAACCAGTTAGAATAATTGTTTATTCTATAAAAGTTTCTTTGTCCATTTTAAATAATTATTCAGCTTTAAAATATTAATCAGGTAATGTTAAAGATTTTTCAACAACACTTTTAAAGTATTCTAAAATAATTTCTTTTTAAACTAATTTTAATTTTTCTTATTCTTATTATTTTTATGTTTTTTCATCTTCTATTAGCTTTTAAGCATCATTTATAAGTTTTGAATAAATAATTATATCTTCATCTTTATCTTTTGCTAAATATTTTCGAATAGCCAATAACTCTTACTTTGATAAAGCTCTCTCTATAAATTTAGTTATTATGGCTAAAAACTTTTATATTTAAATTTCATCTGTCATACCTTAATCCTCATCTCTTAATAAATTAAATATTTTTTCAATTGAACCATTTTATATAATTGATTTTGCAATATTTTAATAAGCATTTTAATTAAATTTCTTATCTACTTATTCTGCAATTTTAGATAACTTTTATTTAAATACTTAAAAATTATATATATTATTTCCATAATCTGTCATTAAATTATAAATTTACTATAATTTTCCTTCATCTAAACCCCACATCCATTCTCTAT